ACATATAACAAAGTTAAAGTGTAAACTTTTTTCTTTTTGATCATCTGTATCTTTTGTTCTTCCATAGTGAACATGCATCATTTTTGTCACAAGAAAGTATTATTAAAATGAAAAAAAGTTTTTCCTTTGTAAAATGAGGATCAGAATATCTTCACTTTCCTCCTGCAAGAGAAACAGGCTGGCTTGGCCATTTGTATCCCACCCCTGCCCATTGCTTTATTTCACAGAGCAATTTGTTAGAACAGTTTAAGGCCTCTTTTGAAAGGCATTCAGTTTTATTTTGACTTCTTGAGAGAGAATTTAGAGGAGAAATGAACATTTTAATGGGTGAATAGCGTATGGATTTAGCTGTACTTTCTAGTGAGTGAAGCCTCAGGTGCTGTGTCCAGCCCAGGTCATCAGAATTTTCTGCATTGTGTGTAGTTCTAGACCACAGATTACATTGCTTTCCGTTAATAGGTATTTACCTTTAAGAGTAGCAATTTGTCAAGGAATAGAGATCTTGCCTTTCTAGGATCTCTAGCCTTAATACCATTTAAGAGTACACCATCCTGCCAGGTGCAGTGGCTCATGCCTGTAATCCTAGCACTTTGGGAGGCGGAGGTGGGCGGATCACTTGAGGTCAGGAGTTCAAGACCAGCCTAGCCAACATGGTGAAACTCCATGTCTACTAAAAATACAAGAAATAGCTGGGGTGTGGTGGCACGTGCCTGTAGTCCCAGCTACTCAGGAGGCTGAGGTGGGAGAATCTCTTGAACCCAGGAGGCAGAGGTTGCAGTGAACCGAGACTGCGCCACTGTGCTGCAGCCTGGGCGACAGAGTGAGACTTTGTCTCAAAAAAAAACAAAAAAAAAGTACTCCATTCTACCTGTTTCCTGCCCCCTCTGTCTTACAGATTCAAGACCTTATTGTAACATTCACCATGAGATTAAGGTAGATAAACTTGGAGTTACAAAGAAATATCTTCTCATCTAAATGAAATCAGGGTGGTCTTAGTTTGCACGTAACTTTTAATTTGCACCTAAACAATTGATAGTTTTTACGTGAATTAGATGCTTTGCTTGGCATTGCATATAAGAGGTGAAACATTTTATTTCACCTGATAACCTGACTCAACTGTAGTTCAAGAGTATCCTTGATAAATAATTAGATATATTAAGAATTATCAGAAGGAGCTACTCAGTGGGTTAACTAATGCAGTTGTCTGGGGGTTATATTCTCTGGCCAACTTAGAGTAGCTGTTCTGTAGCTATTTTCCCACAAGTTCAGATGAAGTATTTAGTATGGCAAATCAAATTCCATCCTGCCTGGCTTTTAGTCAAATAAGTCAGACCCTACATAATCCTATTTATAGGGTCTTAGTTCTGGCTGCTATAACAAGCTACAACAAACTGGGTGGCTTGTAAACAACAAACATTTATTTTCAACATTCTTGAAGGCTGAGAAGTCAAAGATCATGACTCTGGCATATAAGGTGTCCAGTGAGAGCCTTCTTCCTCATTCATAGATAGAGGTCTTGTGTACTCACAATGCAGAAGGGGCAAGGGATCTCGCCAAGGCCTCTCTTATAAGGGCACTAATCCCATTCACGGCGGCCTTTCCCTCATGAGCTAATCACCTCCCAAAGGCCCCATCTCCTAATACTATCACCTTGGGGGTTAGGATTTCAACTTAGGGATTTGGGGAGTAGGGGGTAGAGAGGGATACAGCTATACTATAGCATATACCTAACAAATATTTAAGCAGCTGAAAGCATTGCTGCTGTATGTTTCTGTGCCAGTTTTGTGATCTTTGTAAGAAATGTATTAATGTTTTCCCATATGGCCAAAAGGTCTGAAGTATATTCATCTGAGATGTAACTTCTGTTTTTTTCTGCTTTTAGCTTCGTGCATCCTTTTTCCAAAATGCATTCATCATTAGATGTTTCTAAATTATCCAGGTGTCTGTTTTTAAATTTTTTATTACAAAAGTAATATAGATTGATTACAGAAAACTTGCAATACAGACAAGCACAGAAGAAAATAAAAATCACCTGTGTACTCTTATCACGTGAAAATTTGACTTAAAAAATTAAAATCATTCTGGTTCTTAGTTTGTGACCTGCTTTTTTTTCTCTTATGCATTGCGAACATGCCACATTATTAAATATTCTAATGCAACATAATTTTAAATGATGGTATGATATGCCGTAATTTAACTTATAGCCTAAGTTGGGCATTTGCTCTATATTCAGTTTTTGCTATTAAAAATAACCTTATGATGAAAATCTTGCTCAAGTATGCACACATCTCTGTTACTCCACAGGATAAATTTCTAGAAGAGCTATCATTGATTGAAAGGAATGTTTACTTTTATGGCTTATCCTGTATGTGGCTAGGCTGTCATCCATAAGAATTGTTTCAGTTGACACTTGCATAGATTGTGTGTGTGCTCCTTTCCTTGTACCTTTGCTGTTACTCAGTACAAATGGACAGTTTCCTTCAGAGATCCCTCCCCACCCACCTGCATTGCCTTTCTGATACCTTCAGGCATATTATCCTTTCGTGACACTTGGGGGAGGGGTGTTTAAAAATATTTCTAATTGACGAGTAAAAATTTTATGTGTGGTGCACAACTTGATGCTTTGATGTATGTATACATTGTGGAATGGCTAAATCAAACTGTTTGACATGTATTACCTCACATACTTGTCATTTTTTTGTGATGACAACACTTACAATTTATTCTTAATTTTCAAATACAAAATATATTGTTAAGTGTAGTCAACATGATACACAATAGATCTTCTGAACTTACTCCTCCTAACTGAAATTTTGTGTCCTTTGGCCAATGCCTTCTCAATCATCCCACCCCTTAGTGTCTGGTAACCATCATTTTACTCTGTGTCTACAAGTTTGACTTTTATGTACTTCCCATATAAGTAAGATCATGTGGACTGTGAGTTTTTTTCATTATAATAATTGTAATTACATATATTTGTGATCAATTCAGGTCTATCTCTGCAACTTCGATGAGGACAGGGACCGTATCTAGTTTATTTACCTCTGTATATCGAGCACTTAATACGGTGTGAAGCACATAGTATGATCTCAGTGCATATTTGTTGAATGAATAAGTGGGTATTTTAAAAATTTTATACTTTGTTGGACAAATAACTCTATCTGTTAATGTGTATTTATTTGAGGTTCAGCTTTATGCTTTAATTTGCTACTTAGTCTTCTATTTTATTGCCTATTCATGTTTTGGTTCATGTTTCTGAAAAGTATATCTTTTTGATTCAAAGCTCTTTCTCTTCTGTGGTCCTATAAGCTCCTATCTGAATATAGTGTATTTTGTTTGTTACTTTCTATCTTCATTTTTTAGTTCTATCTCATTCACTTGATTTATTTCCCATTCTTCATGTTTGATGTACAGGCATCTGACACTAAAAGCATTGTTGAAATCACTGATTACCTCCCAATCTTACTTTTCTCTTCCATATTATAACTTCTGCCCTCTATAATTATAGATATCCCCAACTTTTCCTGGGCTTTAAAAAATCTCCACTGCATTCAGTTTAAAGTCACCTTAATTTAGACATTTTGCTTGAAATAAACTTTTTTTTTTTTTTTTTACTTTTTTCAGAAGCATTCTATTCCTATCTAAAAGCTCATCATTTTGCTCATCATTTTGCTATCTTAAACCCGAGATTGGCAAATATTTCCTCTTATAGACTACATAGTAAATATTTGAGGCTTTGTAGGCTAAATGTTCTCTGCATCTACTAAACACTGTCCTTACAGTGCAAGAGCAGCCATAGGCAATACATGAATGAGTGAATATGACTGTGTTCTAATAAAACTATGGACACTGAAATTTGAATTTCATATAATTTTCACATGTCACCAAATAATGCCTTTTCCCACAGCCATTTAAAAATATAATCATTCTTAGCTTATGGGAAGCACAAAAAGAGGCCATAATTTGCTAACCTTTGTCATAAGCCATGATCCAGAGAGACACATCAAGTCTGTAATCACCATCCTGCCATTTACCTCCCAGTTTTCCAAACTTTTAGAATTAATTAAAAAATAACAAAAGCCTACCTCTCTGTTCCATGGTACTTTTGTTTCCTACACAGAATTTGAGGTCCTTGAAGCTGTTTTTGGTCTCATCATTCATCCCTGTAGAATAAGCGATTCCTTCTTCTCTCTTGTCTTTCCTAATTTCTGTGGATTCCACCTTTGTCATATCCCTTCTTTTTCTATTCTCTCCCAGCACCCCAGTTAAAACTCTTGCCTAGAGAGTTGCAGTGGTTTCCTAACTGGTTGTCCACCCATCCAATCTAATTTTCTGTTGCCAGATTACAGTTCTGATAATCTCTCTCCCTTGCTAAAAATCTCTAGTATCAGTGTCTCTGTTTTTGCCTGTATAACCAAGAAAAACTTCTTAGCTTGGCATTTAAGGTATTCTGTAATAGGACATTAATCTACCTTTCTAGTTTTTCTTTCACTATTTCCCTAATGCCTTAGGCAAACTATTTTATTCAATTTTCTTTATGAAGTTCCTTCTACCTTCAATGTTCTCTCTACCATGTCTATCTGCAGAATTCTCTCCATCCTGCAAGGTCCTTACAAAAGGAAGCCTTCTGTGTGTTTACAGCTTAATGGCACTTACAGCCTTAGGTTATAGATGTTTATGCGTTGATCTCACTTCCCTACGTAATTGTAAGTGCCTTGAGAGGAATTACACCATCAAAGGTAATCATCTTTTGTCCCTGAAACACCTAGCACAGTGATAATTTAATATGTTATTGTTATCGAATCTGCAGATGGCGGGAGAACCTTGGGATGGAAAGATCAGTTATCTTTAGAAAGATTATCTTACTGATCACTGGGAGACCTTTAGGAAATTATCGCATGGCAACTACAGAAGAAATGTAAAGAATCTAAGACTAAGGGCTAGGACCTTTTGTTAAAGCTAATGATGTAATCATAGGTATCTAATCCTCTCCTTCCCAGACCCGTGGAAATGCCCAAGAAAATGTGAAAATAGGGGAAAACCCTCAGAAGCTTGATAGGGAGCCATGCACTTGCCAAAACTTGGAGGAGTTTCCGCTGAATGCTGTGCCAATGATACTGGATGAAAAGAAGAGTAGTCAGTGCCAGAGGGAGAATCCTGCAACGGTAAGCACTGCTTGCCAGAGGAGCAGGCAAGGGTCATGCTCACACCATGTGCCAGGCGTTATGTTATGCGCTCTTTGTGCCTCATCACATTTAGTTTTCTTGTCAGCCTTGTGAGAGATGGAGATTGTCTTCATTTTTTGGGTGAAGAAACTGAGACCTAAAAGGGCACACAGTTTGTAAGTTATGTCAGGCCAAGTAAGAGTAAGAAGAAAGACCAAAAGAAACAGTTGAGAAGGAAAAAGTATTAATAGTGATTGTGTCTAGGTGGTAGGATTTTAGGTAATTGGTATTTTTCTTTATATCTTTGTGACTTAACTTTTTTTTTTATTCAGTTATCAACTTTAATGTCGACTGAACATAACTCCACAATCTCACTCTGCTTTAGTTCTCCTGCTGTGGCTCTTCACTGGACCTTGGCTAAATGGATATTCTCCCTGCTACTTTCTGATCACATCCTCCTGTCCTTCCAGCTTACTTTTCAATTATTCCCATGCATGATTATTTTATTTTAGTGGGGCCTCTGTATGCCATTGAATTCTCTCTACTAAAATCCTTAGACTCCTACTGTCTTAACTCACATTCCTCCTGTCCTCACTTCCTACCTGCTAAGTTCAGGTTATCATCCAATATTTCCTTAACTTTATTTTCCCACTTTTTCTACTTTCTGAAATGTCTAACCTCCCTCCTCTTTCCTTCTACTTTCAGGAGTGGGACTTGCTGCTCAACTCAGAGAATGCAGGAGCTATCAGATATTAACTGTCTGTACTTCTGACGCCACATTCACAGAGCCTTTCTTTGTACCCCTACCCTTTCCCCCACTCTCTTTGCTTCTATTACAACAGAAAAACTTTTCCTTCCTGCCCTTTAGGGCCAGTTGGCCCACCATCCAGGAATGTTCCACCATCCCATCTCTTCCCTGCATTAGGCATTCATTAAGTATGCTTTTTAATAAACATGGAATACTTTCATAAATAGGAGAAACTTAGTAACAATTCTTTCTGGGTAAGAATATGGGATTGAGTAATAGACTCTAGAATAATTGTGTTAGGGAATGTTAGTTAACCTAGAAAATTCCTCAGCATTTAGTTTCATAATGATTCTATCTACTCTAAGTGTATTTCATATGGTATGAAATGTTACAGTTCCTCTTAAGAACAGTATTTTGTCTATTTAATTGCAATATGTCTCCTTTTATACATTTTTTTCTTTACATATTGTTTAGATCTACCTTTGACTTTCTTTGGGCAGGGGGACTATGACTTGACTTTTTTTTCTTTTTTCATAGCTGGAGAACACATTCAAATCAGTTATTGCACAAATTGGACCTGGAGGAACTATCAGTTCAGAACTAAAACATAAGATAAAATTTGTAAGTAATTTCTGTTTCTGTGAGACAATAATAATTGATTTATAAATTTATATATCATTTGTGGTTGAGTTTGTCTGCAAGTATTAGTTTACATCTAATCTTTTCTAATATACTGCAAACTAAGTGACAATTCTTTTAGAATAAGAAAAAGAAACAAAATACGCACTCCTAAAAATTTTTAATGTAAAACTATTTAGCAAATAAGTTCTTCCATAAGTTCTGTCTTCCTTTCCTTCTTCCCCCCATCCCAATAAATCACTGTTGACAAACAGTTCAAGATCTTTCCAAATACCAATTTTATAAATGTACATTAAATATTATTCTAGTGTGTGGTATCCCATATACTGATGTACTCTGTTTCATGTAGAGATCCATGATTGATTAAAGTTTTGGTGTTTTTAACTTTGGCTATGGAAAAAGTACTCCAGTTAATGTCCATGGACATTTTTCCAGAAGTGGAATTGCTAGTCAGAGGCATCTTATATTTTGATTATAAATATTACTAAATTGCCCTCTAAAATGCTTGAACAAATTTATACTCCCACTGACAGGTGTTATTATCCAATCACATTGTTTTAGTTTATCTCTTGATTTTTACATTAAGCATCTTTTCATATGCTTAGTAGTCATATATATTTTTTATGTAAATTGCCTGTTTATGTCATTGGTCTTACTTGTTTTGCCTTACTAATAAGGGAAAGCTCTTTGGTGTTATGTATTGAGCCAAAGAGTTATGTACACTTAAATTTTTGGTGGGAGCTGTTAATCTTGCTTCAAGTAATCAAGGTACTATTACAGCTTGTACTGCCTTATATTATTCCATTTCAACTGTCATGATTTTACTAGGAGAGATGTAAAAACCTTGATGCATTCAGGCCCTGTTTTGTTTGTTTGTTTGTTTGTTTAGACACTTGAGCAAGTGTCCAATCATTATTTGTTAAAGGATGTTCAATATGACTTTTTTTTTTTTTTTTTTAAAGAGATGAGGTCTTGCTCTGTCACCCAGGCTAGAATGCCATGGTGCAATCATAGCTCACTGCAACCATCAACTCCTGGGCTCAAGCAATCCTCTCGCATCAGCCTCCCAAGTAGCTGGGACTACAGGTGCATGCCACCACACCCAGCTAATTAAAAAGGTTTTGTAGTGACAGGGTCTTGCTGTGTTGCCCAGGCCTGTCTTGAACTCCTGGCCTTAGGCATTCCCCAACCTCAGCCTCCCAAAGGCTGGATTTACAAGAGTGAATATGATTTTTTTGTGGTACCAAAAATTAGAGAAAAATTAGGCATTAATTTTAAAGGATTGGTTATTAATATTGGATATTCTCCAAACTAGGGATGTCATATAGCTTATAAGAAAGTTTATGTATGTCTCTCTTAGTTTACATAGAAGTTTCTCCTTAACATATTGTTGGACTTTAAAAACAGGTTTTAGAGAATAGTGTGTTTAGAATTGTTCTTTCATATAAAATCATGAATAACGTATGTGCACACATATAGGGTTAATGTTTCTTTAAATATAGCAATGGCTGTCTCTGGGTCACAGGATTTTGAAATAATTTTTACTTTATATTTTTCTGAAGCTTGAATTAGAATTTTGTATGAAATATATCTGGAAAAATTTAGAAAACAAAGATTTTTATACTTTATTGGGATCGAGTAAGTCTACTTTCAGGAAATTATTCTAAAGATCATTGAACTAGTGTGCAGAACTCAAGCATGAGGATAACCATTGCAATATTTGGGATGAAAAATTAGAAACAAAATAGAACATCAAATAAATTTAGGTGTCTTTAATATTTTGAAATATCTGTGGCCAGTAAAAATGTTTATCTGTTTTTACTGACATGGAAAGATGTCTTTGGTATGATACTTAAAAGCTGGTTATAGAAATATTGACTTATTTTAATATTAAATAGGTATTTTGATGTTCATATGGACAATAATGCTGTTTACAGATCTTATTTTTGCTTAACTGTATTTTCCAAAGTTTTTTGTAGTGTTTATTGCATTTCTTTTCTAGTAATTAAAATGATTGAAATTGTGCTATAGGATGTTTTATGTGAGCTGAAGTTAAATGTGTTAGCTGAGCTTAAAGAAGTGCAGGAATTTCTGGAGAGTTGTGGTATTGCAATATCATGTTATAATGATTTCTCAACTCTGGAAATGTTGGAAATCACAGTCTCTTTTGTTCTGATGTTATTTAAAACTGGAAAATCATTTTTTTAAAAACAATGTAATATGAGTAAGATTCATTTAATAATGTTACTTTTTCCTTTGTTATTTGTTTATATTATTTTAATATTGTGTCAGTCAGCATTTCAGTTGTGTCTATATTGTATTTCACTTTCTATTTATTAGGTTGTATCTAAGTTCCCAGAGGGTTTGTTTATTTCTAAACTGCTTGGAGAGTATGAGGTAAGTGTTTTGCTTTTCCCCAACCCTAATTTTTTATGGCTTATATTTCTTGTGATAGATGGAAATTTTGTAGCTACTCCTTGGATTCTCCAGGTCTATGCTCTAAAATGGAAGCATTTTGTTTTGCATTTTAGTGTCTTTATTATGAGACTTGAGAATATGATATAAAGATTATCTCATTAATGTCTGACAGTATTATACCAAGTGTCAGTGGGGATGCAGAGAAGCAGAATACCTCATGCACTGCGTGTGGGACAAAATGGTCTTAGGGAGCACTTTGGCATTATCAAGTAAAGTTTAAGGTGTGCACCCTCAAGGATCCAGTAGTTCCACTTTTACATTTGCACTCTAGAGAAACTCTTGCACATGTACACATGAAGACATGTAAAGAAGTGCACAGCACAACATAGGAACAAATGAGAAACAAACGGTCATCAGTAGGATAGTGGATATTGACATTTGTACAATGGAATTGTATGTAGTAGTATAAAATAAATCTGCTCTGCAACATGGATCATTTTTAAAACCATAATATTGAGTGAAAATAAATGAAGTTGCAGAATAATTCAGATAATGCCATATATCCAGTTTTTAAAAAGATAAGTCCTATACATACGTTAACTGTGTGCCAGGCTCTATTCAGAGCATCTTCCATATTGAGATATGTGTGTTTTGTTTTTCACAACAAATAGAGGCACAGAGAAATAACTTGCTTAAGCATCAAACATCCGGTAATAGGTGGAGCCAAGATTTTAACCTGGGCAGTCTGGCTTTAGAATCCTAACTCTTAACTACTGTGCCATGAAAACTGTAGGATATTTATAGGTAAAAACATAGATACTGTGAGATAGTATAGCCTGATGGTTAAGATACGTAATTCTATGTGCTATCTTATAGACAATATGTTAGGTCAAGATAATACCTACTTTATAGAGTTTTGTGAAGTTTAAATGACTTAAAAATAAGGCACTTAGAACAGTGTCTGGCACATAAGCTCTGCTCAGCTCTCTGCCTGACCTTTAACTGCACATGCTTGGGGCAGACATAGAGCAGCCTCTGTTCTTTTCAGGCTGAAAGAACTGAAGATATTTCAGCTGTTGCCCAACACAGGGTGGCAGATTTTGGGTTGAAGTTCAGCCAAACTTAAACAATACTGTCCAAAGGAGCATAAAAGATTCCAGATTCTCTACAATACATCTATCATGATGCCTGGAACACAAACCAAAATTACTAGATATAGTAAGAAACAAGAAAATGTGACCCTTTGACAAAGAGAAGGTAATCAATGGAAACTCTGAGATGGTGCAGTTATTGAAGTCAGCAAAAAAGGTTTTAAAGTAACTCTTTTAACTATATTAAAGGATATAAAGGAATATGTATTCAGAGTGAATGAGCAGATAAGATATTTCAGTGCAGAAAAAGAAACTATAAAAACCAAGTGATTTTCATAACTTAAAATATCTGAAGTAAAAAATTCACTAATAAATTGAAAATGGCAGAAGAAAGCATTAGTAAACTTCAAGACAGATCAATAGAAATTATCCAATTTGAAGAACAGGGAAACAAAACAGAACTTGAGTGACCTGAGACCTGTGGAATAATACCAAACGGTCTAATGTATCTATTAATATAATTGGAGCCCAAGAAAGCACAGCAGAAATATATTTGAAAAAATAATGACCCAAGTTTCTCAAATCTTGTGAAAGAAGTTTATAAATCTAAGAAGCCCAGAAAACCCCAAACAAGTAATACAGAGAAAACCTTACATAGGCACATCATAGTAAAAATGCAGAAAACCAAATATAAGTAGAAAATTCTGAAAGCAGCCAGACTAAAAATAACACACTTCATACAGGAGAACAGTGATACAAATGATGGCTGACCTCTTGAAGCAGTGCTAGAAGACAATGGAATGACATCTTTAATGTACACAAAAGAAAAGTAATGTTAACCCAATATTTTATATCCAGTGATAATATCAAGAATGAAGATGATGAGATAGACATTTTCAGGTAATCAGAATTGCAAGCAGACTGGTACTATAAGAATGCTAAATAACATTCTTCAGGCTGAAGGAAATAATGCCAGATTGGAACTTTAATCTTCAGGAAGGATTGAATAAAGGATGTAGTAAATATCTGGGCATATATGAAAGACTGCCTTTTTTGATCAGTTAAAATATATGACTGTTTAAAGCAAAAATTACAGCATTGAATAATTGGGTTTATAACATGAACATGTAATGCATATGAAAACTACTGCATAATGAGTGGAGGGGTAGTACCTGGAACTATAGGGTTGCAAGATTCTTATATTTTATTTGAAGTGGTACAGTAAGACTGGAAAGGATGTATGTTGGTTTTGCTGGTGAATTCTGTAAGACATTTAAGGAAGAAATTATATTAGTCATGTACAGATTGTTTCTTAAAATAGCAGATAATATTCCCCAACTCATGCTTTTTTTTTTTTTTTTTTTCCTTTAAAGAGTCACTGTCACCCAGGCTGGAGTACAGTGGCATGATCTTGGGTTACTGCAGCCTTGAACTTCTGCTGTCAAGTAGTCCTCCTGCCTCAGCCTCCTGAGTAGCTGAGACTACAGACATGTGGCGCCATGCCTAGCCAATTAAAACAAAAAATTGTTTTAGAGACAGGGTCTCACTGTGTTACCCAGGCAGGTGTTTAGCTCCTGGCCTAAAGCAATCCTCCTACCTCAGCCTCCCAAAGTGCTGAGATTACAGGCATGAGCCACCATGCCTGGCCTCCCCAACTCATTCTATGAATACATTGTCCTGCTACTAAAGCTTGACATAGACATTACAAGAAACCAATTAGGACATGTTTCTCATAACGTGGGCACAAAAAGTCTATTACAAAACAGTAGTAAATTGAATTCAGCAATCCCTGAACAAGAGGGGTTTATCCTCAGAATGCAAGGTTGAAGTAACATTTCAAAAGGAATTAAGGTAATTCACCATTTTAATAGAATAACAAGGAAGAAAAGCCATGTGATTATTTTGGTAGCTGCAGAAAAAGAATTATCAAAATTTAATACCCATCCACAATTGAAGCTCTCAGAAAACTAGGAATAGAGAAGAAATTCCTCATTCTGATAAAGTGCATTGGTGAAAACCTATTAATATACTTGTCATACTCAATGGTGAAACACTGAACAATTCCCCCATAAAATCTGGAACAAGGCAAGTATATCCAGTCATACGGCTTCTGTTCAACATTGTATTGCAAGTTCTTACCAGTGTAATAAGAAAAGGAAATAAAAGGCACGAAAACCTAAAAGAGAAAAAGTTAAACTTTATTTCTAGAAAACATGATTGTTCATGTAGAATATACTAAGGAATCCATGAAAAAAGCTACTAGAACTAGTTTATTAGGTCAAATATACAAGGTTAGTATACAGAAATCAATTGTATTTTCATATGTAAGTAGCAAACTCTCAGAAAATGAAATTTTAAAAATTCTGTTTATTATATCATCAAATTACTTGGAAATAAGTTTAACAAAAGAAACATAAATCATGTACACCAAAAACTAATAAACATTGTTGAGAAGTTGAAGACTAATAAATGGAGAGGTATAACATATTCATGGGTGAGAAGACTCTTATTGATAACATTATATGAACATGATAACATTAATGTATGGATTCAATATAGTCCCCATCATAATTCTTGCAGGCTATTTGTAGATACTAACAAATCCATGAATTTGTCTGGCCTTACAGTACTTGCTTAGGAGATCCACCCATATACACTGAAGTGATTTTTGAGAAAGGTACCAAAGGAATTCAAAAGGGATAAGAAAGTATTTTCAGCTCTGGGCGTGGTGGTTCTTGTCTGTAACCTCAGCACTTTGGCAGGCTGATACAGAAAGATTACTTAAAACCAGGAGCTTGCAAAAATATTTTCAACAAATGATACTGGAACAACTGAATGCAAGATACAACTGAATACAAAAAAAAAAAAAGAAAAAAAACCCACCTTCAACCTGATACCATGTACAAAAATTATTTCAAGATGTATCATAGACCTCAATGAAAAAATTAAAGCTCTAAAACTTCTAGAAGAATTAAAATATGTTAATGACCTGGACAGGCAAAGGTTTCTTAGGATACAGAAGCAGTAATCAGTTAAAAGAAAACTGATAATGAGACTTCATCAAAATTAGCTTCTATTTAGGAGACCCCATTTAAAATTGAATAGGCAGACCATAGACTGGGAAGAAATATTTACAATCATACATCTAACAAAGGACTTATATTCAGAATACATAAAGACCAGTCTATAGCTCCATAATAGAAAGCCAAACAGTTCTTTTTGTAAATGGCCCAAAGGTTTGAACAGAGACTTCACAAATGCAGATATGAGTGACTGATAAACATATGATAAACTCACATTTTTGGCGCATGCAGATATGAGTGACTGATAAACATATGATAAACTCACATTTTTGGCGCAAGTATAAAATGGTACAACTACTGTAGAAAATGTTCTTACAATTTCCTATAAGTATGTATTTGTCCTTTGACCCAGAATTACACTCCCAGATATTTATTCAAAGTCTGTGTCCTCAAAGACTTACACGATAAAGAGTATTCATAACAGCTTTATACATTATAGCTGCCCAAAACTGGAAATAACCCTACTGTTCATCAATAAGGGAATGAATGAGGAGATTGTGGTATGTTTGTACAACAAAATACTATTCCACATTAAAAAGAAGTAAACAGCTGATACGTGAACCAGTGTGGATGAATCTGAAAAATAGTTGCTGAAGTAAGTCTCACACAGCAGCATACTGTAGAATGTCTTTTATATGAAATAATACAATAGCCAAAGATAATCCGTGGTGGAAAAAATTGTCTCTAGGGGTGACTGGGAAAGGGAGAACTTTCTGAGGTGATGGAAGTGTTCAGTATCTTGAATAGGATTTTGGGTTACACAGTTCTGCATTTATCGGGGCTAATTGACTGGGAAACCTAAGTTGTGTGGATTTCACTGTGTGTAAATTTTACCTATAAGTGAACAGATACTGATTTCTAGTTAATGCTGTAATGCTGGCCTATTTTAAGGTAAAGGCTACTGATGTCTACAGGTCACTTTGAAATGTATATAAAAGATAAGATGGGTTGGTAGATGGATGGATACACAGATGACATAGCAACTCTATAGTGGTAGAGTTCAGTATCCGGTTCTTTCAACTTTTTCTGTTTGAAATTTTACATAAGAAAATCTTAGGGAAAAAAAGGAAAGATAATGATGATTCAAGAGAAAATGACAGGTATTAAGCAGGCAAAGAAGAGCCAACATGAGTAATAAAGCCAAAGAAGGAAACAGAATGAATCCTAAAAACTAGAATTCAAGTAAACCTTACTGGAATGGAAGATTTGAGACTATATGAAAGAGCGCACTGCATATCTGACAATATCAACTCAGAATGACCAAATATCAAATTTCTGGACTTAAAAGAAAAAAATTTGTTCTGGGCATTTAAACAAAAACAGCAAGTGACTTATAAAGGAAACAAAAGTTAAATTATTAGACATTCTCACAGCAATGTTTTAAGCTAGATGAAAAGGGAGTAACTTATTTTATATACCCAAAGCATGAGCCAAAGATTCTGTAGCTAGCAAAACTGACTTTCAGTTCCAGAGAGCCAGACCAGCTGTTATCACCATGCAAGAATTCAAGAACTCTTGTTCCCATGAGCCCTTCCTGAGGAATCTACTGGAGAATGAACATCAGAAAACCAAAATCACACTAGAGAGACATTGATAAAAGGACTGAAAGTGAATGCCATTTATATAACTAAGATCAAATGAGGGTTGGGGGGAGAGAATGCAGTATTTAGTGGCAATATACTCTGCTAATGTAGACAAAGTACAGTTACACAAAATAGTGGAAGAAGAAAGGGTGAGCATATGCAAGATTATTTTGTTTTGATTATATTGGTGGTAGTATTCTGAGACCATTGTTGTATAATTTGAGAAAAAGCAAATGAATAATTGGGAGATAATTCAAATTGTGTATACAAGGATATCCTAGTTACATAAATTGAGTTTGGAACGTCTTGTCATACCAGACCAGCAAGGAAGCTATTTAAAACTAGGTTCACCAATGAGATCACTTGGACTCGGGAAGGGGAACATCACACACCGGGGCCTATTATGGGGAGGGGGGAGGGGGGAGGTGTTGCACTGGGAGTTATACCTGATGTAAATGACGAGTTGATGGGTGCAGCACACCAACGTGGCACAAGTATACATATGTAACAAACCTACACATTGTGCACATGTACCCTAGAACTTTAATAATAATAATAAATAAAAATAAAAAAATTAAATAAAACTAGGTTCACATTAGAATAGCTTAGGAATTCACTTGAAGAATTATTTCAGGCTACAATAAGGATAATAATTGCGATATTTTGAAGCCCATCGAATATATTTAATTCTGTGAGTTTATATGATACTAAAAAAAACTGATGACTCAACATAGAAGATGATGGAACTAATTCACTTTCTTTAAAAATGGTAGCTGGGTGCAGTGGCTCAAGCCTGTAATCCCAGCACTTTGGGAGGCCGAGACGGGCGGATCACGAGGTCAGGAGATCGAGACCATCCTGGCTAACACGGTGGAACCCCGTCTCTACTAAAAAATACAAAAAACTAGCCGGGCGAGGTGGCGGGCGCCTGTAGTCCCAGCTGCTCGGGAGGCTGAGGCAGGAGAATGGGGTAAACCTGGGAGGTGGAGCTTGCAGTGAGCTGAGATCCGGCCACTGCACTCCAGCCTGAGACTCCGTCTCAAAAAAAAAAAAAAAAAAAAAAGTAAATAGAGCCAATCACTTATCATGGCATTCCTAAATGAATTTATACAGCTGCATAAGCAAAGAACAGGAGGGGAAGCATACATCTATAGAGTGTTCCAACTAAGTAATGAAAAGGAATTGACAGAATGCTGCTATTAAAACTCTTAAAGTAATGCATCTAGAAATTGACTAATAATGGCTCTTAACAACACCAAAAAAGAGATGACCAGATATTATGTGCCCCTCTTTAGAACATAGCATCACTTATAGTATTGTCAAAGAGATCAAACATAAATCTAATCAAGCCTGTGGGGATATCTATTATGCTAATTTGCAGGAAATAAAGTGTTTGTACTATAAGATTGTCAGACCTTGAGGAAACAAAATCATGTAAACAGGATATATACACATATTTGAAGGCATAAATCTAAACTCTAAGAAAAGGATAATTAGAATTTGGTTGAAGATGGAAGGAAAGTATGGAGGGTGGGAGTAGAAATATATCAATTTCTTTTTTTTTTTTTTTTTTTTTAAAGACAGGATCTTGCTGTTACCCAAGCTGGAGTGCAGTGGCACAATCATAGCTTACTGCAGCTTCAGCCTCCTGAGTAGCTGGGATTACAGGCACATGCCACCATGCCCAACTAAGTTTTGTTTTGTTTTTTTAAGTTGTAAAGGCAGAGTCTCATTATGTTGCCCAGGCTGGTCTCTAACTCCTGGTCTCAAGCAGTCCCTCCTGCCTCAGCCTCCCAAAGTGCTGGGATAACAGACATGAGCCTCTATTCCCAGCCCATCAATTTCTTCATTGCTGATAGTTGGGAGCCAGTAAAGCGGAAAGCATAACAAAGGAATTAGGATAAAATATATCTGACATAATAAACTGACTAACCTTTTAAAAGAAACTGAGTCTCAGGATCAGAGAGCAAAACTCAACTGTGTTTCATGTACTGATATAGTAATTGAAAAAAAGCAAGATGTACCTAGTATATGTAATCTATTATGTTGAATCATGTTTGAGTTTTGATAATTTCTGGAACGTTTTAACAAGGAACTGGCAATACTGATTACTTCCAGGGAAGTGATTGCTAGGTAACTGAGGAATTTTTTGTTGTTTTGTTTTTTGCCAATTTAACTGAAGTGTTTATTTTTAAAATAGTTCCTGATTAAACTTACATCCTGCTTTTTAATAATCAGTCACTCAGCATCATTACACTTTACCAAAATACAGATAAATTCTAAAGGAGAATGTGATTTCTGAATAAGAGCTGTCAAGTCAAAATGATTGAGAAATCCAGATGAGCACTGTGTTATCTGCTTATTTCTCTTGGTGCAGAGGAGAAAGCTGGAAGATGGCAACTTAACATTTTCATGACCGATTTAGCAGATAACAACCCAATATAAAACTCAAAAATAAATTCACAACATAAATTGAGGAAACCGAAGCTTATTCACTTTAAAAACCAAAAGGATGGAGAATAATATATTAAAATTCAAATGGGAGACTACCTGAAGAGCCAAGATGAGGATACATATCAGAAGGTCTTCCACTGAGAGCATTAAAATTTGTATTAAAAAGATAATTTGCATGATAAGTTTTTCAGTATGAAATGCATCTAAAGAATGAAGATAGAAGTCATTCAACAACAAAAAAGTCTCTTTAGATGTAGCAGGTTTTGTTTTGTTTTGTAGGCTCAGAAATAAGCAAATTTATCACCTTAGGATAATACATATAATAAATGCAACATATTTATTGTCTTTCTTAGAATAATACCTACAATAGCTGCAAAATATGAAGACTAAAGGCAGCTTTGGGAGAACATTTCACTTTTAACCCTTTGGAGTAGATTTTGTTTAATGTTTTAAGAATTTATGTAAGATAGAGTTATTATAGATGAGTGAAACTAAAACAATGTTGGTGATGCTTTTGACTATGGAATAAATAACTGATGATAGACAGTCCTTTTAAGACATATAAAATGTTTTCTGTTTAAGGAATGTATTCTATGTGTCTATGCCATATATATTGTCTCCTGTCTTCATTTGGTATGACTTTTCTTCTTTTCTAAGGCAAGAAAATCAAACTGTATGCTATGGGAAATACACCAATAGATATCTGCTCATTTATTCCAACCTCTTTTTTTTTTTTTTTTTTTTTGAGATGGAGTCTCACTCTGTCACCCACGGAGTGCAGTGGCGCAACCTTGGCTCACTGCAAGTTCCACCTCTAGGGTTCACACCATTCTCTGGCCTCAGCCTCACAAGTAGTTGGGACTACAGGTGCCTGCCACCATGCGTGGCTAATTTTTTGTATTTTTAGTAGAGACGGGGTTTCACCGTGTCAGACAGGATGGTCTCGGTCTCCTGACCGTGTGATCCACCCGCCTCGGCCTCCCAAAGTGCTGGGATTACAGGCATAAGCCACTGTGCCTGGCCTTTATTCCTAAACTTCTAAGGCGAAATAATAAAATTTAAGGAAATATTTTTAAACAATAATTTCTCTACATGTTGGAAGTGATATCGAATATTATCTTTAGTGGAAAATAGAGAAATACCAATAGTTTTATTACAACTGTTGTAATTTGTGCATTCTCTTCTTGTTTTTTTTTAAAAGAAGACTTGCTTTATATTCAGACATTGTTAAAAATGAGAAGTGAAAAGTGCCCACCCTAACTTTTACCTTAGTTTACCATATGCTCTAAAAGGAACTTGACATTGACCTAGAAGTTTTATGGTAAGGGATTATCGGTCACTTGGTTTGTTTTGTACTGGTATGGAAGTGAGCCTTTACTCTTTAATACTTGAGGTCATTGACCATTTAAGATTTAGTTTGTATATGTTATATATCTGTTTATATGTAACATAAGTATATGTTATGTATCTGTTATCTAATGCTGTTTCATGTAATTTCTATTTTCTTGTGACAGGTGATTTTTAAAGAGCAACTATCACCAAAAAAATTAGGCTTCTTAAATGTGACAGAACTTGTTGGAGCTCTTAGTGACATTCTCCGTGTTGAGTTCAGGGAAGGACAGCAAGACTTACTAGTGTTTGATGTGGATAAGAAGCCTCTACCACCTGGTGAGTAGAACCACAGTATGATGGAAACCTCATTTTTATTGTCCTTATGAGGACAAAGAAAACACGAAATAATGCCTAGCCATGAAATGTTTTATATAATGACTGCCTTTCTGGTGGCATTTGTTGTAATAAGGTTAATCTGTATTATTAATAAAAATTATCTGAATTTTAAAATGTTGCTTTCTTCGGCCGGGTACAGTGGCTCACGTCTGTAATCCCAGCACTTTGGGATGCCAAGGTGGGTGGATCACGAGGTCAGGAGATTGAGACCATCCTGGTTAACACAGTGAAACCCCATCTCTACTAAAAATACAAAAAAACCAGCTGGATGTGGTGGCGGGTACCTGTGGTCCCAGCTACTCGGGAGGCTGAGGCAGGAGAATGGCGTGAACCCAGGAGGCGGAGCTTGCAGTGAGCCGAAATCACGCCACTGCACTCCAGCCTGGGAGACAGAGCGAGACTCCGTCTCAAAAAAAAAATTTTTTTTTTGCTTTCTTCATTGTCTAGATTTTTTGGTAATTCTGAAGGAAATAAAGTTTCTAAAATGGTAATCTGATAGTGCAGTGGTTCTTAACTCAGGCCGTGCATCAAAAGCTTTTTAGAAATATATGGAGATGCAGAATAAATGGGTGTGCATTGGGACCCAGCACTTGTATTTTTTAAAATAAACTTTCAATTTTAGGATAATTTTAGTGTTACAGAAAAATCATAAAGGTAGTACAGGTAGTACCTGTCACCCAGTTTCTTCTAATATTAATGTCTTATTTACCATGATACATTTATCAAAACTAAGAAATTAACATTATACATTGCTAGTAAGTAAACTCCAGACTTTATTCTGATTTTACCAGTTTTTCCAAGAATGTCCTTTTTCTGTTTCTATATCCACTCCAGGATAATACCACATTGCATTTAGGGCACTTGATTTGTGTTTTGTTTTTTTGGGGGATGGGGGAACCTTCTTTTTCTTTTGAAGTTTTTATTGAGATAATTTTAGATTCACATGGAGTTGTAAGAAATAATACAGTATGATCCCATGTACCTTTTACTCAGTTTTTCCAATGGCAACACCTCACAAAACTAGATTGCAGTATGGAACTTGTATTTTTATAAACTTGAATGAGTGGTTATGATGGACAGGTTTCCCCCCCTAAATGTAACTACCTTTATTGATTTTCTTATTATTAAAGTAGCTCATGTTCACTCTAAAAATATATAAACAGCACAGATTAGTAGAGAGAGAACATTTTCTATTATTTTATCCCCTCCCCCAAAATAATGCTGTTAGAATGTTTATATAGCCTCCAAGAGTTTTTCCAATGAATATGTAAGACATAGATAGATCTTTTTTTTTTAAATCACAAAAGCTGCACATGCTTGTTTAAACAATTCCAACAATACGGAGGTAACTATCATTAATAGTTTTAGTGTGTTTATTTCTGGACCTCTTCTGTATGATATAGCTAATTATCACATGTATAATTTTTCCTACACAAAACAGTAGTATATAAATACAAATTTACCTCAACTTATGATGGGGTTCTGTCCCAATAAACCCACCATAAGTAGACAGTGCAATTAATACACCTAGCCTACTGAACATCAGACCTTGGCCTAGCCTACCTTAAACATGCTCAGAATACTTACGTTAGCCTACAGTTGGGCAAAATCATCTAATACGAAGCTTATTTTATACTAAAGTGTTGAATATCACCTGTAATTTATTGAATATTGTACTGAAAGTGAAAAACAGTGTTGTATGGGTACTTGAAGTATGGTTTCTAATGAATGTGTATCACTTTCATACCATAAGAAAGTCAAACTACTGTGGATATCTGTATTGTGTGAATCCTCGTTTCTTACACTTCATATACTGTGGATTTTTTTTGTATTAGTACAAACAAGCTTATTTCATCATTTGAAGTTCCATATAATTATAATGTACTTAACCAGTCTTCTACTGATGGACATTAGGATTGTTTCCATTTTTCACCATCACAAAAATACAGTGACAAATATTCTTGTACCTACATCTTTGTGTACTTATGACTTCATTTTTTAAGTAGTCACCATGCTTGTAGGTCTATCTGGAGTCTTTTTTTTGTTTGTTTGTTTTTAAGGTGGAGTCTTGCTCTGTTGCCCAGGCTGGAGTGCAATGGTGCGATCTCGGCTCACCGAAACCTCCGCCTCCCAGGTTCAAGCGATTCTCCTGCCTCGGCCTCCCAAGTAGCTAGGACTACAGGCGCCCGCCACCATGCCCAACTAATTTTTGTATTTTTAGTAGAGATGGGGTTTCGTCATATTGGCCAGGCTCGTCTTGAACTCCTGACCTTGTGATCCACCTGCCTCGGCCTCCCAAAGTCCTGGAATTACAGGCGTGAGCCACCACACCCAGCCCGGAGTCTGTTTTAATGTGCCAATCTCTTGTAGTTATCATACACATGTAAATTTGAACACAATATGTTATTAACTTGAACATTTCCTAAGAATTAAGGAATTGTATTATGGAATGTTAAGTAGGTACATACATTCTATGTTAAGCAACGAAGAATGTTCCCTGTTTAATTTGAACAAGAAGTAAATTGAAATCAAGATGCTGAAAAAAATTAAGTCTTTTACTAAAGTTTAAGATACCTTATCAGATCACAAGCGTCCCTTCCCCTAGCACAAATAATTTAAGATTTGTTCCCATCTAGAACTTCCCTTATATTTTGCCACACTGAAAGGTCTGCAAAGACCAGTTTATATCTCTCATTTATCATTGTCCTTCTAGCACTGGGTGTATTGAAAGTGCTTAGTAATGGTTGTACAGCTACTTTAACAAATATGCATAGGCTGCTGTATTGGCCATTTGAGATGGAGTTGTTTCATCAGTCAGAAATTTGTGTTTAGTTCAATCAGATAAGAAAATAGAAGCCAAAGCTTGTGTCTCCAGTCCACCTAGAAATTCATTGTCTACTGTTGCTGTCAAAGAGACTGTATGGAATTGCCCTTCAAAAAAACAAAAAGAGCCACAACAGAAGATTTGCAAGAAGCCTAATGTGGTAGTAAAGCCTTTACAGCTGGTGAGTGAGGTTTAAAGACTTGGTGCACTGGATATTCAGCATTATGGAAAGTAAATGAATGTATGTTTCTTTAAACCAAAATTCTTTTTAGAAAAGTCTTATTTCTGGATATATCATTTATTAGAAGAAATCATCTTTGTACTGAAGTTATATCATATAGCATTCTTTCTAGTTTTCAGTCTTTTATATAGCTTGCTTTTCCTCAAGGCTTATTTTAAAGTTTTCAGATGGTTTTGAGAGTTGACAGCTCTGTCATGATGTCTTGAAAACCCACAGGGGCTTTAGAGGGAAAAATTGAGAGGCTTCGTTTTGGCTGTGTGCCTCAGTACTGCTGCAAATTGCTTCTACACCCATCCTCAATTATAGGGTGCTTTTTGTTTTTTTTCTTTTATTGCTTCCACACACAATTCACCATTTTTGTGTTTCCATCTCCCATTACTTATTTTGTTGTTATTAAGGATCATTGCTTGCTCTTTTTCCCTTCTACCCTCTCTACCTGGTTTCTTTCATGGAAGGAAAAAGTTTTGTTTGGAGAGCTTGCTGTATTTTCTGGAGGAAAATAGAAGGCCTAGAGGAAAACAATATGTTTCAGAATGAGAGTGTTTGAGAAATCCTGCTTTTGATTGGAAAACTAGTCTGACATTTAACCTATTAAAGTTACCTTTGACTGCTGATACGTTTGAGTAGGACTTCACTTGGTTCAGCCTGAATGTTTGAAGTATCATATTTTCAATTTTGTATAGGGCAATTGTGTAACACTTTAAACTCTATACCTAATGTCATAAGGCAGTAGTTTTCATATTTTAACATAGGTAAGAATCACCCAGAGAATTTTTTTTTAATGCATAATTGTGGGCCCCATTCCCAGGCATTCTGAATCCGTAAGTCTGGGCTTGAGTTCAAGAATCTGTATTTGTGTAATTTCCCAAGTGATTCTGATAAAGGTGGTTCCTGAAATATACTTTGAGAAACATGCCATGGGGTTTGAAATGTCACCAAGAGATTTTTAATTTTTTTTTTTTTTTTTCCTAACTTATAGCAAGTAGAAACAAACAAATCACAGCTCAACCTGGCAATGGCAAATCATGACATCCCGCCAGATGCTGTGCCGGACAAGAAATTATGCAGACTCCCACCATTAGACACCAGTTCCCTTGTAGGTGTCTTTGTGGAGTATATCATCTCTCCCAGTCAATTCTACATCCGGATCTATAGCAGGGATTCGTCAGAGTTACTCGAAGACATGATGATTGAAATGCGGTAGGAGTCTGTTGTTTTCCATGTGTTTTTCACATCTCTCTTCTTTTTTGTTGTTTTAACTTTTTTTTTTTAAATACTTTAAGTTCTAGGGTACATGTGCACAATATGCATAGTATTCCATGGTGTATATGTGCCACATTTTCTTAATCCAGTCTGTCACTGATAGACATTTGGGTTGATTCCAAGTCTTTGCTATTGTGAATAGTGTCGCAATAAACATACGTGTGCATGTGTCGTAATAGCAGCATGACTTATAATCCTTTGGGTGTATCCCCAGTAGTGGGATGGCTGGGTCAAATGGTATTACTAGTTCTAGATCACATATCTCTTAAATCAGCAGTTCTCAAACTTTTTGGTTTTAGGACTCTTAAAAATTAAAGACCCAAGAGAGCTTTTGTTTATCAGTATTTATTGTATAGCAATTTAAACTGTAAAATTTTAATATTAAAATAATTCTTGTGTTAATATAAACATTTTTATGAAAATAACTATTTAAAAATTTAGAAGGGTGGCATTGTTTTATACTTTCGTAGATCTCTTTAATATCTGGCGTAATAGAAGAAAGTTGACTTGTCATATTTGCTTCTGCATTTAATCTGTTGAGATATGTTGTTTTGGTTGAAGTATTTGAAGACATCTGGCCTCACACCAATGTGTAGTCTGGGAAAAAGTATTTTAACAGCTTTTTCAGAAAATTGTGAATATTCTTTTTTGGTAGTATGCTAAAACTTGAGAAATGGTAGTTTCTCAAATGTTGTTTGGAATTTGAACTTTTTGTACTCTATTATTTAAACCCCATTGGTCTGCCTTTACAATTTGAATGAATCTAAGACTGGCTGTGTAATTGGTGGCCCTGGTGCAAAATTAAAATGCAGGGCTCCCTGTTTAAAAGTTACTAATTTCAAGATGGCAACAGCAGAATATTAAAGCAAGGACAAAGCTGCTTCTAAGCATGGATTCAAACTATCCCTGAATGGGTCATACAACTTTATAATACCATGTATTGGTCATTTGGAAAATAACTAGTTTGCTGAATTATGCGGATCTTCCAAATGTCGACACATTTCATTATGCAGTATAAAAATATCACATTAATATCATCATTGATCTCATAAGAAAAGTATTTAGTATTGGGAAGCTGTCAAGCTCACAGTGGTGGATGCAACATTTCCAAAATCTTTTTACTCGAAAGTTTGATTTTTATCATTGACAACGTGTACTGTGAGTTGTTTTCCTTGAAGTGACAAGCTTGCTTCATTGTTGAAAAATGTGTGTCAAAAACCCAAGTCTGCTTTCTAGTGGTTCTTTAAAGCAAAAATGATATGAAAGAAATGGCTAGTTCATCTTCCAGGTAAAAATCATGTTTGTGGACTATGCTTTGAGAACTACTAACTTACATTATCTCTTTTCTCTACTAAAAACTGTCCTTTGTTAGCAAACACCATGTAAAATGTGGACATTTTCAACCACTTCAGATTTGTTCATGAACAACAATGTCTGATTTATATATTGTTAAAGAAGAATAATTTATTTCATTTTATTTTGTATCTCAAAAAACATTCCATGTTTTAAACTTGACAACAGTATGTATTCTTCTACTCCAGGACACCTGGCACTTAGTAAAAATATATATTCCATTCCAGTATGCCTATGGGACATTTGTACATGTTTTAAAAGCACACTTACTGGCTCTGTGACCTTGAAGTTACTTTACTTCTCTGGGCCTAGTTGTCTTATCTCCAAAATGAGAAAATAATAGTACCTACTTCACAGAGTTCTAAAAATTAAAGTACTTGGAGCATAGCCCAAATGTTGGCGGCTATTATTATTAATACTATAGACTGGGTATAGTGTGGTTCATGCCTGTAAACTTGGCACTTTGGGAAGCCAAGGTGGGAGGATTGCTTGAGCCCAGAAGTTCAAGATTCATCTGGGCAACATAGTGAGACCCTGTATCTACAAAAGAAATTTAAAAATTAGCTGGGCATGATGGTGCATGCCTGTAGTCCCAGCTCCCCAGGAGTCAAGGCTGCAGTGAGTCATGATTGTGCTACTGCACTCCAGCCTGGGCAACAGAGTGAGACCCTGTCTGGAAAAAAAATACTGTAACTACTGTGTATGCTTAGTGTCAGAATGTTGAGGCACTTGCACTACAAGGATAAGTAAGACATGGTCCTTTGCCTTTGTGAATACCATGGTTAGCTTAGGAAGATGGGAGATACATGGGATATTGTAAAAGGAAGTCATTCTGCCTGGGCAAGGTTGGGGAAAGCTTCACAAAAGAGATAATTGAGCTAGGCCTCAAAAACAAGAATTTGCCAGTCAAGGAGGTTATGAGTGAGTATAATCAGGTCCAGTCATTGGAACCAAGGCCAACATTAACAAAGGAGTAAGTGGCGTGCCTTGGGAACAGCAATAAGGAAGTGACGTTAGCACCAGGTGAGGTTGCAGGAGTCGGGAAGTGGGAGATAGTGACTGGATGTGATGCTGAAAGACTAAGAAAAAGCTAGATTCTGAATACCATGGGAAGATGTTTTATCTTATTCTGTAGACAGTGGGGAAGCACTGATGGTTTTAAGAAAGCCATTGGAGTGAAGGGACGAAGATCTATTAGTGGATTAGTCTTGATGAGAGTGAGACTAGAAAGGAAGAAATAAATAGGAAAATGAAAATTGCCAGGTGACAAGAAGAGTGTTGAGAAGAATAAGAAAGGGAAGGAGATGATGAAAACTGTTTGCTTTAGAGACTGGATAGGTTTGAGCTGGGTTGAAAGCTTATTAGTAGAAGTTTACCTGTGGTGTCTCTAAGTTGACCATGAGAGTCATTGGCAACGTTGAATAGATGGTATGAGTTAGGATTAGGTTTAGCCACTGTTAGATATAACTTTATCATAGTAGCTTAAAGAAGATAAAAGTTTATTTCTTCTTCCCATAATAGTCCAAATATACACAATACATTCTGATATGATAGCTCTGTGGTGGGAGGGGGACACAAGTGTAGAATCTTGCTGCTCCAGAATAGTGTGTTGTCCCTGTTCACGTGGTCTTGGGTGTGGGTGACCATTACCACCACCCAGTCCTCCTGCCAGTTAGTGGGGAGGGAAAAAATAAGTGGGGGGATGGGAGGGATACCTGTTTTATTAAAAGACACAACTCAGAATTTTCACTTTTGAAACTGCGGGTAAAATACACATTAAATGTACTCATTTTAACTATGTACACTTTTTCTCATATCCCATTGGCCAAAATTTAGCATTCACATAGCCACAGCTAGATGCAGGAGAGCTTGGGAAACCTGAATGACCATTTGCCCAGTTAAATGGTGGGAGAATCTATTACTAGAGAGAAGAGAAAGATGAAAATGGGTATTGAGGAACAAGTAGCATATCTTCCATATAGTTGGAAATATTCCAGTTTTGAAGTGCAGAAAGGATGCAGGGTCTTCTAGAGATAGATTGAGAATTAACAATTGATCAGTAGTATGGTATAAGACATGAAAATGGGTGAGACAGTATATAGCAAGAACAATAGCTAATATTTGAGAGCTTACTATATGTGTACACTGTCTTAAACTTTCAGATGTTTTAACACGTTTTATTTTTATCATCCCCATCCTGAACAAGGAAACTAAAGCACAGAAAGATTGTCACACAACTGGTAAATGAGGGAGTCAGGATTTGGACCCAGGTTATTGGTTCCTAAGCTTATGTTATGTTATACTTCCTAAAGATAAGACCCCAGTGAACCTCAACATTTAAGGCAATACAGAGCCAATAAAAAAATAACTATTGACAAAGAAGTAGAGAATTGTGTCTTAGAAACTAGGAAGGGGTTTGAAACAGAACAGGGTAATGCTGCAGCAAGATCATGCGTATTGAAGGCTGAGGAGAGAGGCTGCTGGATTTGGGAGCCATCAAGTCATTGATGTCTTAAAACTAATTTATCCTAGGAAGTACTGGGGAATGAAGTTGGGGTACATTCTATCCAGCAGAGAATGTGAGATCAGAAAATGAGTATGTAAGTTTCTCTTTGAAGAAGTTTGTTGATGAAGAGATGGGACTCAGATAAGAAAAAAACAATTAATTGGTATTAATGAGCATTAACAATTTGACAAAGTCAAAATTTTTTTCTTTGCTTTTTGCCAAGACTTTCTGGCTTGATACATTGATAAAAATTATCTTTAATTTTTTCTTCCCCTATGGATTTCTCTGTATTATGGAATTCCACAGGCGCTGTTATTCTAATCAGCTGGTTTCTGATCGATATGTCATGCCAGAATGTTTTATTCAGCCGGGACATCTCTGTTGTGTGAGGATTTCTGAGGATAAGTGGTGGTATCGGGTCATTATCCATCGAGTCCTTGGGAAACAGGAAGTTGAAGTGTTCTACCCAGACTTTGGAAATATTGGAATTGTTCAGAAGTCCTCCCTGAGGTTCCTCAAGTGAGTTGAATTGAATTAGAACAATGGATGAATTAAATTTTGAATCACAGTGTTGAAGCTCTGTGGGGTTGGGATCTCTCTTTTCTCTTGCCTTCCTCCCTCCAGTCCTTCCTTCCTTCCTTCCCTTCCTTCTTTCTTCTTAGTGCATATGTGACAACTGGGTCGTTTCGTTTCACAGATGGATTGTAACTCTTGTGTTGTCTTTTACATGACACTGAATTTTGAATGTACAATGAGACTACGTTTTAGTCTCTTATTAAGAAAGTGATTTTTTGGGTCATGCTAAGAGGTGCATTTAAATAGCAGGAAGATTTAACTTATATATTTGATTATCTGTTGGCAGGTGCTGCTACACAAAGCTTCCAGCTCAGGCTATCCCTTGTTCTTTGGCTTGGGTGAGACCAGTAGAGGTATGTTTGCTTGTCTCCCATTTAATCAGCAAACACTTGAGTGCCTATTATGTGCCAAGAACAGTTTTACATGCTCAGGATATAAAGATAAAACATAGAACCAGCCCTGAAAGAAGTCAGTGTATAGAGTATGGAAGACAGACATGTAGACAGAAACTGTTATGCCATATAAAATTTGCTATAGGAGAGGTTTCAAGAATGTATGATAGAGGGGCAAAAGGAAGATTGCTTGTTTCTGTCCAAGGTAATTAGGGAGGCATTTGAGTGGCACTTTGAAGGAAGATTAGGAAGATAACTGGATGAAAAAAGGAAGGCATTCCAAGCAAAGGGAGAGTAGCATGAAACATCTCAAATGGGAGAAATTTTAAGTAGTTCTGTTTGGTTACACAATATAGGATGAGCTAATGTGGGTGCATGGTAGAAAATGTCAAAGAAATAGGAGCCTAATGTGAAGACCCATGTTCAGAGGTCTGAACATTGTCGTCCTTTAGAGGCTGGGGAGCAACTAAAGGATGTAAATAGGAAACTGCCACCGACAGATAACATGTTTTCAAGATAATTCTCTAGCAACATTTTGGCAGAGGTTTGAGGTGGAATGGAGCAGGAGTCATTTTCATGTATGTAGGTGCATTTTTGTAGTTATAATTATCTTATGTACCTAACTTTGTATTTTTCCTTCAGAACTCTTACTAGCACATACCTATATATTTATTATGCCGTATTTGTCTGCTTAATCTATCAGTTGCTCACATATAAATGGATTTTAAAAATATTTTTTATCTGAAAAATTCTGTAAAGAAGAAAGAAAAACTCACTTCTGTAATCCCAGCACTTCGGGAGGACGAGGCAGGCGGATCTCCTGAGGTCAGGAGTTCAAGACCAGCCTAGCCAACATAGTGAAACCCCATCTCCACTAAAAATACAAAAAGCCAGGCATGGTGGTGGGTGCCTGTAATCTTAGCTACTCTGGAGGCTGAGACGGGATAATCGCTTGAACCCAGGAGGTGGAGGTTGCAGTGAGCCGAGATTGTGCCGCTGCACTCTAGCCAGGGCAACAAAGAGTGAAACTCCGTCTCAAAAAAAAAAGAAAGAAAAAGAAAAAAAAATTACCTGTAATTCCACCACTCAAACATACATAGTTTAGAAATTTGGTGTATGTTTCTTCCAGTTTATTTTATTGGATGTTGGGAGTGAGGGGTTTTTGGTATGGTTTTCAGCATTATTTAAAATAGTAATATTTTGTATTCTGCTCTTTTGCTTAGCATTATAGCTTAAGTACTTTTATATGTTAAGTTCTCAATTTTATTGGATTCATAGTGTAATCTGTTAGGTAAATGTGCATCATAGCCTGTTTAACCATTATTGTTTGACATTCAAACTACTTTTAATTTTTGACTATTAGAAACAATGTATGCAAAATATGTTTTTTGATGGAAGCTTGTATTCAAGGTTGTTTTCTTGGTTGCATTTGATTCCCGAATAAGTTTCTTTTTACTATTTTGCCATCAGGAAGCACAGGATTAAATTTGTGACTCTGTTGTAGCCAGTGTTCATTACTTTCATATCAGTCAGATAGCTTCCATTTTTTGTTCTCTTCTTTTCTCTTTTTTCCTTTCTTTTTTTCCTTTCTTTTTTTTTGGAGACAGAGTCTCCCTTCATTGCCCAGGCTGGAGTGCAGTGGCGCGATCTTGGCTCACTGCAACCTCCACCTCCCTGGTTCAAGCAATTCTCCTGCCTCAGCCTCCTGAGTAACTGAGATTATAGGCGTGCGCCACTATGCCTGGTTAATTTTTTTATTTTTGTAGAGATGGGGTTTCACCATGTTGTCCAGGCTGGTCTTTAACTCCTGGCCTCAAGTGATCTGCCCGCCTTGGCCTCCCAAAGTGCTGGGATTACAGGCGTGAGCCACCGCCTCTGACCCTCCTTTCTTCCTTTCTAAACTCCTTCTGGCCTTAGGGCTTTTGCATATTCTAATCACTGGAATAGCTTATTCACAGTAATCTCACAGTTGTCCTTCTTGTCATTCAAATTTAAGTCCAAAAGTTATTTCCTCAAAAAGGACTTCTTTGACCTGACAATTAAAAATGCACACTTCAATTATTCATTGTCACCTTGTTTTATCTTCATAATGCTTTATCACTATCTGATATTGTCTTGTTTGTTTATGCATGACCATGTGAGCCCCTGAAATTAGGGAAATTGTCTTGTTCACCACTGAATCTCCAGTGCCCAGAGCAATGGCTTTGTGCATGGTAAATGCTCAACAACTAGGTTTTTAACTAAATGACTCTATCTCACTTTATTTCTGTGTCTTTTTTTCTGATTTAAAAAATAATGCATTTGGTAATAGCATAATAGCAACAGACTATTATGCCCATTAGCAAAATCGGAAGCAGGCAAAAAAGCAGTTAGTTAAATGGCAATGGGACTTTTCAAGCTTCTTTTCTGAGAATCTGCAGTCTTGCTGTCTTAAAGAATTATAAGACATTGTTTGGAAATAGCAGAACATTTGGAAGTTAGGGTGGAAATACTTGAAAGTAGGGAACCACAGAATGGATGAGTTCCCAAATCATTATATATGATCTGCCCAAATCCTTGGGTGACTACTGAACTATCTTAAGTGCTGGGGAGAACTCAGTAGCCTGGTGAAAAATCAACCGTTGGCATTTGAGGTGACTGAACAGAGATTTCTATTGCTACAGACTGCAGAAGAGACAGTGTAGAGTTTGGGTCCAGACAGTTTTAACTGCCAGTTAAAACAAATCAATCTTGAGAAGAGCGTAACAGAATCCAGAAACTCTAAAACATATTGATAATGTTTACTATTTAACTAAAAATCACTAGACATGGAAAAATGAAAAACAAAAACGGGAAAATGTGACATATACTCAAGGAAAAAAGTAGTTGGTAGAAACCGACATTGAGATGTCCCAGACGTTGCAGTTAGCAGACAAAGACTTTAAAGCAGCTCTTATGAGTATGTTCAAGGACCGAGAGATTTACTCATCATTAAGGAACAGAGAAGGAATTTCTGCATTAAGAAACTATTTAAAATAAATGGAAATGCTGGAGTTGTAAAGTGAAATAAATGAAAAGTTTCTGCATAGGCTTAATAGCAGATTTGGAGACAATAGAGGAGTCTATGAACTTTAAACACAGATCAAAAGAAATTATCCAATATGAAGAAGAGCATAAAAAATAATTAAAATGAAAATGGACAGAGACTTGGTCTCTGGTTCAATATCAGCTACCCCAATAGGGATGTAATTGGAGTCCCAGAAAAAGAGTTGAGAGTTGAGAATAGGATGGAAAAAAGAAAGACCAAAAATTTCCACAATGTGGTGAAAGAGGTCAATATTCAGATCCAAGAATATCAACAAACTCCAAGCAGAATTAATACAAAGAAAACCATACCTAGACACATCATAATCAAACTGCTGGAATCTAAAGTGAAAGGAGAAAATCCTGAAAGCAACGAGAAGGGGGAAAATTCAGGAAACAATAATATAAATAATATCTAACTGCCCATTGAAAGAAACAACATTGAAATCTGAAAGAGAAAAAGAAGTCAAGGTGGAATTCTGTATCTAGTGAAAATATCTATCAAAATGAAGAAATGGAGACATTTTCAAAAAGTAAAAACTGAGCTCGTCACTAGCAATCTTGAACAACAAGAAATACTGAAGGAAGTTCTTTCAATTCTGTAGTGAAGTGAAACCAAATGGTAATGCAGAGCTACAGGAAAGAATGACGATTATGGAAAATGGTTAACATGTGGGCAAATATGAAAAACTTGTTTTTAATTTTATTCTCTGAATTTCTTTAAAAGACATAGAACTTTCAAACTAAATTGATAATACTGTGTGTTGGAGTTTATAGCATATGTTGATGTAATATATATTTATCCCAGAAGCCTTAGTGCAGTTTAAGCTGTAATAACTACAGAAGTATAAAGGCTACAGATCATGAAATTATTCAAAAGTTTAATTTTTAACCTAATATATACTTGTTTATATGTAATACTCATTTTGTAAATTTTGAGTAATTTTTTAATCTTAATATTTTGTTGCAACTTTTACCACCCTAACAAAAATTAAAATTAATATTTATAGTAGACTTTTCATTTTTTATTCCTTCTTGACTTTTTGGATGTCATTTAAATTTTGTTTTTGGCATAAATTGTTAATAATTTTTTTTGTCCTTTTGATGTTGACATCTGTAGTGATATGTCCTTTTACATTCCAAAGATGTATTTGTATCTTTTTTAAGGATCTAAAGAGACAGATATTTGCCATTTTGAATAGTTTTTTCAAAGAACCAAGTTTGGCTTTCTTGTTTCTATTATAAACATTTTTTTTCTATTTTGTTTATTTCTGCCTTATTTTTACTGTTTCCTTAATTCTACTTTCTTTGGGTTTATTTTGCTGTTGTTTCCCTAACTTCTTGATGTGCAAGCTTAGGTTATTTCTAGCCTTTAGGTTGATCTCATAAATTTTACTGTGTAGTAGTTGTTTTATTGTTCAGTTAAAAATATTTTCTAATTTATATTTTGCTTTCTTGTTTGATTCATGGATTATTTACAAGTTTCTCAGTTTATAAACATTTTTCTAATTTGTCCTTTTGTAGTTGATTTCTAGTTTAAATACTCTGTAGTCAGAGATCATCCTCTGGATAGTATCAGCCCTTTAAATAGGAGGCTGCTAGATGGTCCAGTATAGTGTCACTTTTGATAAATGGTTGTGTCTTCTTTAAAAGTGTATATTCTGCAGTTGTTGAGTGTAATATTTTATGTATGTCCATAAGATCAACTTTATTGTGTGAAACTCTTACTCATTCTGATTTTTCTGTATTGCTTTTCTGTAATTATTGAAAGAAGTGTGGCTTTTGTCTATGATTATTCTTTTGTGTATTTCTTCCTATAGTTCAGTCAGTTTTTCTTTTGTATACAATTGAGGCTATATTATTAGGTACATATACAGTACCAAAATTGTTATATCTTCCTGGCAGACCGAATGTTTTATCATTATGAAGTTAACCTCTTTTATTTCTACTAATGCAAAAAAAAAAAAAAAAAAAAATTTGTCTAATGTTAATATAACTATAATTTTCTATTTAATATTATCTTGGTTTGTTTTTAAACTGTCATTCTACTTTCAACCCTTCTGTATCTTTATATTTAGATATGTCTTTTATGAACTATATAGTTGTTTGTTTTTTTAATCCAGGGTAATACCTTTTGTCTTTCACCCAGAATGTTTAGACTGATTACATTTATTGTAATAATTGAAATATCTGGGTTTAACTCTTACACTTTATTTTGTGTATACTATATAGTCTACCTATTCTTTTTCTCACCATGCATGCCTTATTTTGAAGAGATTTTTTAACTAATTCACTAAGAAATATACTATTATTTTAATAATTGATCTAGGAAATACAATATGCATAACAATGCAAGGATATTAGAGCACTTTAACTCCTTTACCTTCCTCTTCTGACCTTTTTGTTGTGTAATGTTACCATTTTTAACCCCTCAAGAAATTGCATAAAATAATGTCAATTTAGATTTAATTATATATTTCTCTGCTCTTCATTCTTCAGTCAAACCCTTTGTTGGGACCTGTTTTCCTTCGTTTAATTAGGATTTTATTTAATGAGGGTCAGCTGATAGCAAAGTTGTATTTTTCCGAAAATATCATTTATTTTTCACTTATTATAGAAACATGTATTTACTAAGTACAGAATTCTAGGTTAGCAGTTAGTATCTTTAGCACATTGAAGATACCATTACTGGCTTCTGGTTTCCCTTATCGTTTTCTGAGAAGTCAGCTGTCAGTTTAATAGATTTTCTCCTTTGTAGGTAGTGTCCTTTCTGTCTCTAGGTGTTTTTAAAATTTTCTATTAGTTGCTCATGTTCTTCAGTATTAGTGTTATGTGTTTATGTGTGAATTTATTGTTTATGCTACTTTATGGTTCATCAGACTTCTTTTGTGTTTTGTTACTTTTTTTTAATCTTGCAAATTCCCAACCATTATCTCTTCAATTACTGCCTATTTCCCATATTTATATTTGTATTCTTCTTGTTTCTGCTGCTTTTTTTCTGGGACCATAATTAAAAGTGTTAAAACTTCTTAGTTTTTCTTCCATTTCTCTTAACCTTTCTATCATATTTTACATCTGTTTGTCTTTCCATGCTGCATTCTGGGAAATTTTTTCCAAAATACCTCACCCTTTACCAATTTACTCTTTAATTATATCTGATCTGTTATTGAATTAACCTATGAGGTTTTTAATTTTGGTTATCATGTTTTTACCTTCTAAAACTTCTTAGTTCTGCTAGATCAAGTTTTATAGATTGCTAATTTCTGCAGAAGCTTTCAAGCTGAACTGGTTTTTGGGTTTTTTTGGCTTTAAGCATAGTAAGTTTAGTTTTATAATTTGTCTAGAAGTTAAAATATTTAAAATTGAGGATTTGTTATATTGTTTCTGTTCTTTTTTGAGTCATTGTTTCTTTGTGTGTTTTATTATCTTTGCCTATGTACTGCTCATTGTCTTTGAAAAATTAACCAGAAGAATGGTTGAATAATAAAGGCTGAGGTTGCCTACCTCCAGAAAGGATTTACATGTGCTTCTGCCAGATATTTAGAAATATTACCAGTCTAGGACCATGTTAATTTAAATTAACAACTTGAGGATGTGTAGACCACCCTGGTAATGTGAAAATTGAGCTGCAAATCCATGTGAAGGATAATTTATTTTCTTCCTCCCTTACCCTGAGTGTGTATCTCCTTAGGGACTCAGTTTAATAAAGGAAAGTTCTCCTGTAAACTCCCCACCATGGGTGCACCCTGGCTTTGATGTCTGTTTCGTTTGACCTGTTAGACCATCCGGTGGGTCATGCCTGTAATCCCAGAACTTTGGGAGGCCGAGGCAGGTGGATCACCTGAGGTTAGGAGCTCGAGACCAGCCTGGCCAACATGGTGAAACCCTGTCTCTACTAAAAATACAAAAATCAGCTGGGTGTGGTGGCATGCACCTGTAATCCCAGCTACTCAGGAGACTGAGGCAGGAGAATCGCTTGAATCCGAGAGGTAGAGGTTGCAGTGAGCCGAGATCGCGCCTTTGCATTCCAGCTGGGGTGACAGAGCAAGACTCTGTCTCAAAACAAAAAGAAAAAAACCAAAGTTCAAATTACCTGGATTAGCAGGTTCCCTTAAGACAAAAGTAGTTCCCATTTTCCCTTCAGTTTTGGCCTGATAATTTGTTCAAGCTTGTCAGTCCTTTGATGCCTTTTGGATATATTTCATAATTCTTTTACCTAGAATTTTTAGTTGTTTTCTGTGGGAGGGTTGGTCTAATAATCTAACTCACAGTTTCTGAAAATGGAAGTTGCACATTACATAATTATTTAAATTTTTTCAGTAATTGCATTTTTTATCATTTTTCCTTTATTCTGACTTTTCTCATCCCCAAATAATATATATCCTTCTATGTGTTATTCTAGTACTTTTATGGTTTTATTTCCACTTCAATCTCTAGTTCATCAGAATTCATTGTTGTATATGGTTATTATAATTCATGTTTAGATCTATCACCCTGAATCCAATATCTTGATCATATTTCAGGAACACTGGACATCGAAAGCTATTTTGCAGTTCCAGAAGTTGTGCGGTTTGAAGCCATTAGTGGGGGTAGTGGATGAATATGTAGATGGAATCCTTAACATTTTTTTGTGTGACACATCCTCAAACGAAGATATCTATTTCCATCATGTCTTGAGAACAGAGGGCCATGCTATTGTATGCCGAGAAAATATCTCTTCTAAGGTGGAGCAGTCTGGATGTATTTTGTAATATATTTTGTTTAATTTCACCATGTCAAGGTATAAGATAATTTGATAAAGAAGTTTATTTGGTTTATTCTTTAATCAGTTAGAGACATCCAAGAGATTCCTGGCTTTTTAATGCAGAGCACTCTTAATTTTCAGATGACCACAGAAAAACTGCATTTGACTAATTGTCCTTTGAAATGGGAATACTTTTATTTTAAATAATTAATTTAAAAAGTAGTTATCTGGCCGGGCACGGTGGCTCATGCCTGTAATCCCAGCTACTCGGGAGGCTGAGGCAGAGAATTGCTTGAACCCGGGAGGTGGAGGTTGCAGTGAGCCAAGATGGTGCCACTGCACTCCAGCCTGGGCAACAGAGCGAGAGTCTGTCTCAAATAATAATAATAATAAAATAAAAAGTAGTTATCTGAAGTTGTCCTAGAGAAGAATAACACTCCTATTTTGCAATTATTGATAGCATCTGTTTCACTGTTATGTTGATAATTTTTGTAACTAGCAAAAACTGTCAATAATGGAGACATTTTTAACTGTTAAAACTTGGAAGATAGGCTGGGCGCGGTGGCTCACACCTGTAATTCCAGTACTTTGGGAGGCCAAGGTGGGTGGATCAGGAGGTCAAGAGATCGAGACCATCCTGGCTAACACAGTGAAACCCCATCTCCACTAAAAATACAAAAAATTAGCCAGGCGTGGTGACACGCGCCTGTAGTCTCAACTACTCAGGAAGCTGAGGCAGGAGAATCACTCAAACCTGGGAGGGAGAGGTTGCAGTGAGCCGAGATCACGCCGCCGCACTCCACCCTGGGCGATAGAGCGAGACTCCGTCTCAAAAAGAAAAAATAATAAATAAAATAAAATTCGGAAGATAATATACTTCCATAGTATTTGAAAGTCACTAAGTGCTTTCTCACCCTTTTTCTGTTGGTCATGTAAATTAAACCATCCCTTTTTTTTTTTTAATCTTAGGGTTTCAGTGAGCTCAACCCTTTAGCTTTATACACGAGATCCAGTGGAGGGCCAGAGGACATTGTCTTGACAGAACTGGGTTATCCTTCCCAGCAGCACTATTTTAATGAAGACCGAAAGATAAGTCCACAGTCAAAAGAGAGTGAGTTACATATCCTGGTAAGAGATTTTTGCAAATACTATTATAATTCTTTTTATTACTGTAATCCTCATTTTTTTAGATGAAGAAACCAAGGCTTTCCAAATTTTGGGGAGTTTGGAAATTTTGCACAGTGATCTTAACAATTTGTCTCTTTATTTGCTGGCTTAAACGTTTGCTTCAGTCATGCTTCCTCCTGAACAATTGCTCTTATATACTAAATTCCATTGCTGCCTTTGTGCAGTTGTGACTTCACTACACTGACTCTGAATGCTATTCTTCTTCCCTCTGCAGTACACAGGTTCTTCTGGTATTCTCGTTTCTTACTTTCCCTATAAACTTTCAGCAACTCCTCCCTTCACAGTAATAATAGTATTATAATATTATTATGTATTTTTTCCAGCTCACAGTAATAAGAACAACAGCATTATTTACTGAACTTGTACCACATGGCAGGCACTGTTAAAAGCATTCACATGTGTTAACTAATTTAATCTTTACAGCAACTTACCAGGTTTGTACTTTCATATTTTCATTATAAAGACAGCTTGTACGTCTCTAATGCACAAACCCAAAACCTGAAATGCTCCAAAACTCTCAAAATTTTTGAGTCCTGACATGATATCACAAGAGGAAAGTTCCACACCTAAACTCATATGACAGGTTGCAGTCAAAATGCAGTGCAAACTGTTTCATGTACAAAATTATTTAAAATATTATATAAAATTACCTTCAAGCTATGCATATAATGTATATATGAAACATAAATGAATTCCATGTTAGACTTGGGTCTTATCCCCAGGATATCTCATGTATATGCAAATGTTTCAAAATCCAAAATTATCCAAAATCTGAAACACTTTTTGTCCCAAGCATTTTGGATAAGGGATACTCAATGTGTAAAAGGCAAGTGAAGCATATGGTGAGGACTTAATGTTTCTTGAACAAATAAACCATGTCCTCCAAGTCTCATATTCCTCACAACAACAGATACTGAGCTAAGAATACAGGATGTGTTTAATTTGAGAGCCAAAAATGTTTTGTTTTATTGATACAATGTCTTTTTATTTTCTTTGAATAAAATGTAAAAGTATTATTTTGTTTAATGTGTTTTATATATCTGACTTATAAAATTATAGAGATGAGTTTTTGAGTAGACATTTACTAATTATTAGAAAAGATGAAGGCCATTTTGACTACTGGGAGATTACCTGTTATGAAAATTATGTACCGATGTTTCCTACTGCATGTTCAAAACAATATAAAGATTTTTAGATTTCTAGTTAATGTTAAAATTAATGAAGCTTGTATTCCCATAACACTTTCCAAAGCCTGAATTTTTCTTAGTCATTATTACTGGATTAGGAGAATTCTGTTTCTTCATTCTTAAATAATAAATTGAATTCAACCTTTAATATTTTTAGAATATCCTATCACTCTGTTGGTGTCTTCAAATAATCATAGTTTTATTCTGGAAATGAAATAAGAACCATCTTTTCTGCAAAAGAGAAAGGGCTTAAAACTACTATTCCACCCTAGTCTGTACTTTGACATATTAAGACTCCCATATGCTACACACACACTTACACCCCTACACCCAGTTCCTTGTGAATTCCTACTCATCTTTTAAGTGTTGTCTTCTTCATTGCATCTTCTAAGATGTCCTCTTCTATCAATCATATTTTGGTCATATCTTTGTGATGGCTGGACTTGGAAGACTGATTCTAGGTCTTTCCACAATATTTTTTAGTTCCTTTAGAGCCAGAATCTGTTGCATTCATCTTTGTATTCACAGAGCTGTCTTGTAGACATTTCATAATAAAGGCTCAATAAATGTTCATTGGCTGGAACTAGTATAGCAGGATGGGAAGACCTAGGATTGTGGATAAAGCTATAAAATAATGTAGCATTTGTGTGAACCATAGCAAAAACTTCCCCCCAAAATGTATAGGCATGTAGATTTTGGAAACAGCGTTAATATTGAAAATAAAGGAATTCTCTTTCATATCTACTAGCAAGATATTAATGATGAAAAGTGTTTAAGTCATCTTGAATCTGAGTCAAAGGAGCCATTAAAGGATTCTGAATTTGATTCTTTGAAAACCTGTAATAAGAGCTTTGAAGAAGATCCAAAGTGGTCCAACCCAGAGCCAAATGATCTGAAGGAAGAAAATGAGGTAGGAGAAGGAAAGATAGTCTTTGAATATGTAATTAATATAATACACTGAATTCATAAGTGAAGAGGATGGGAATAAACTCTCTTTAAACCCCACTGCTTTTAGTATTACAAATTCTTGGGCCAAGTGCGGTGGTTCACACCTGTAATCCCAGCACTTTGGGAGGCTGAGGCGGGCAGATCACTTGAGGTCAGGAGTTCGAGACCAGCATGGTCAACACGATGAAACCCTGTCTCTACAAAACGTACCAAAAAAAATTAGCCAGCCATGATGGCATGTGCCTGCAATCCCAGCTACTCAGGAGGCTGGGGCTTGAGAATGCTTGAACCCGGGAGGTGGAGGTGGCAGTGAGCTGAGATTGTGCCACTGCACTCCAGCCTGGGTGATAGAGTGAGACTCTGTCTCAAAAAAATAAATAAATAAATAAATAAATAAATAAATAAATAAATAAATAAATTCGTTCATAGTAACCAATACCAAAGTTGTAGCAACATAACCTTGATCATAAAAAAGGTATCTGGCTTTGATGTGTTAGTTAATATCCTGTGACTTGGGGTGGTCTTCAAGAATTATACAGTGGCTATAAACGAGTATCAAGAAATTATATTATGAAAAACCCATTGGGAAAAATGTTTACAACTTTTTTGGAGGATGTATTTTTATTTTAATCAAATGTTTATGTATACAAAACTTAGGATCCCCCATGACTCCTTCCCCTGTATTTCCTATTTCCCAGAGCAACCACGTTTATCTCTTTTAGCTGTTTTTGGAATTTACTTCTGTTTCTTTCATTAAATAACATCCTCATGTTGTTATTTCCTGATTTTTCAGTTTTAAGTATCTGTGGATTTGCCACTATGAAAGATGAGGGCTTAGTTCTCTTTCATTGCCTTACCACCACCACACACAAACATAACCTTTTTGTCCCTTCCCCCACCATGTTATTGATATAGTATGTCAAACTTTCCATCAGATCACCATTCAATATTTATATTACTGTGACTATGTAAATGCTCTTCATGGCTTGGCCAAGTATTATAGTACACTATTACACCTTTTTCTTCCCTTGTATAACTTTTTTTTCATGTTAATATTTCTTTCCTTTTATAATAAATTAACACATAGTAAAATTGACTCTGTTCTATCAACTTTAATAAATGCATAGGTTTGTGTAACTAACACTGCAATTGGGATGCAGAACAGCTCCATTATCTAAAATAACCCTTGTGCTACCACTTTGTAATCACAGTCTCCCCACATCCCTAACCCATTAGCAACTGGTCTGGGGTCTGTTTTCTGTCACTCTAGTTTTACCATTGCAGGACTGTCATGTAAGTAGAATCATATAGTATGTAACCTTTGGAGACTGGCTTCTTTCATTCAGTATAGTTCTGTACCTTTGAGATTCGTCCAGGCTCTTGCATGTATCAACAATATGTTCTTTTTGATTGCTGAATAGTATTTTATAGTATAAATATACCACAGTTTGTATATCCATTCACCTATTGAAGGACATTTGGGTTGTTTCCAGTTTGGGGTATTTATTCAAGAGCTGCTATAAATATTCATGTACAGGTTTTTGTGTGAACATAAGCTTCATTTATCTAGGGTAAATACCCAGGAGTAAGATTACTGGGTCATGTGATAAGGGTATGTCAAACTTTTTTCCAGGGTGACTATACCATTTTGCATTTTCACCAGCAATATATGAGTTCCAGTTGCTCCGTTTTCTTGTCAGCACTTGACATTGTCAGTAATTTTGCTTTAGCCATTCCAATAGATGTGTAGTAGTATCACAGCATGATTTTAAATTTGAGTGATTAATGATGTTGAACATCTTTTCATGTGCTTAGTTGCCATCTATACACAATTCTTGGTGAAATTTCTGTTGAAGTCTTTTCCCCATTTTTTGATTGGGTTGTTTTCTTACTCTTGAGTTTTGAGAGTTCTTTATGTATTTGGGATACTAGTTCTTTGTCAAATAGTGTGATTTTCAAATATATTCTCCCACTTGTAGCTTGTCTTTTCGTTCTCTTAATATAGTGTCTTTCATACAGAAGTTTTTAATTTTGAAAAAACCTAACGTATCAACTTGTTTTCTGTTATGGACGGTGTTTCCAGTGTCAAGACATCTTGAGTTAATTTTAGTATAAGGCATGAAATTTAGGTCAGATTTCATTTTGTTACATGTGGATGTCCAATTGATCCAGCATACTTTGTTGAGAAGGCTATCCTATCTCCATTGAATTGTCTTTGAAGCCTTATCAAAAATCAATTGTCTATATTTCTGTAAGTCTATTTCTAGACTCTGTATTCTTCTCCAGTGACCTATATGTATGTCTCTTCATCACTACCACATGTCTTGATTACTGTAGCCTTATATAGTACCTCTTAAAATCAGGTAGTATTGGCTGGGCACAGTGGCTCATACCTATAATCCTAGCAAATTGGGAGGCCGAGGTGGGGGGATTACCTGAGGTCAGGAGTTCAGGACCAGCCTGGCCAACATGGTGAAACCCTGTCTCTACTAAAAAATACAAAACCTAGCCGGGTGTGGTGGTGGGCACCTGTAATCCCAGCTACTTGGGAGGCTGAGACAGGAGAATTACTTGAATCCAGAAGGCAGAGGGAGGTTGCAGTGAGCTGAGATCACACCATTGCATTCCAGCCTGGATGACAAGAGCGAAACTCTGTCTCAAGAAAAAAAAAATCAGGTAGTATGATTCCTCCTATTTTATACTTTTTCAAAATTGTTTTTAATATTTTGGTTCCTTTTTCTTTCCTTATAAATTTTAGAATCAGTTTGTCTATACCTGAGATTTTGATTGGCATTGTTTTATATATATAGATAATTTTGAGGAAAGTTGATACTTTAGTCCATGAACATGGTATATCTCCCCATGTATTTAGGTTTTCTTTTATTTCTTCAACAGTGTTATAATTTTCAGTGTACAGGATCTGTACACGTTCTGTTAATTTTATACCTAAGTATTTCACTTATTTTGAGAGCTATTATAAATGTTTTCCCCAATTTTTGTATTTTAATTGCTAGTATATAGAAATTGGTGTTTTTTTGAACTACCTAACCTCACTAATCAGTTCTAGGGGGTGTTTTGTTGATTTCTTTTGTGATTTTCTATATCAGTAATGTTGTCTGCATTCGTATATGCAAATGGATGTCTGTTTTCATGAGATATTGGTCTGTAGTTTTCTTGTATTGTCTTTGGTTTTTGTACTGGATAAGCCTGGCCTCATAAAATAAATCTGAATATGTTGCCCTCTTTGCTGTTTTCTGGGAAAGATTATGTAGAATTGTATTTCCTTTTTATTTATTTTTATTGTTTTTGTGGATCTTTATTTTCTTAGTTTTTTAATTAAGTAAAATTGCATATATGGTGTACATGTTTCAGTATATGTGTACATTGTAGCATGTATAAGTCAAGCTATTTAGCATATGCATTACCTCACATATTTGTATTTTTTTGTGGTGAAAACACTTAAAATCTACTCTGCTGACAATTTTTAAGTATACATTATGTCACTATGTCACTATTAACTGTATAGTTAATAGTTAACATCACTATTACCAAGATGTATAGCAGATCTCTTGAACTTACTCCTCCAGTCTACTGAAATTTTGTGTCCTTTGACCAACATCTGCCCAATCCCTCCACCTCCTAGCCTCTGGTAACCGCTATTTCAGTCTGCTTTTTTAGATTCCACGTGTAAGTGAGATTGTGTTATTTGTCTTTCTGTGTCTGGCTTCTTTTATGTAACATAATGTCCTCCTGGTTCATCCATTTTGTCACAGATTACAAGATTTCCTTCTTTTTAAAGGCTGAATAGTATTACATTGTGTATATGTAGCACGTTTTGTTTATTGACGTACACTTTGTACAGGATGATAGTGTCCTAATAAAATGAGTTGGAAGTATTCGCTTATCTATTTTCTGGAAACGATTATATAAAATCGGGTTATTTTTCAGGGAGAGAAGTTGATTTTTAAAATGTTTGGTATTACCTTATAAAACCATCTGGGCTTGGAGACTTTTTCCCAGAAGAATTTAAATTATAAAATCAATTGCTTTAATAGATACAGGATTATTCAAATCAGCTATTTTATCTTAGTCTTGGTATTTTGTGGTTTTTGAGGAAGTGACTCATTTATCAAATGAGGAATTGGTTCACTTCATCTAAGTTGTCAACTATATCTATAACATTGCTTTCCCTTATCCTTTTGTTATTGGCAGGGTCTGCAGTGATAATCTCCTATTACATTCCTGATGTTGGCAATTTGTCTTCTCCCCTTTTTGTTAGTCTTGCTAGAGATTTATCCATTTTATTGAACTTCCCATTCCCAGAGAATAAGCTTTTGGTGTCACTGGTTTTATCTCTTGTCTTTCTGTTTTCAAGTTCATTGATTTCTTTCTTCTTTTATTTTCTTTGGGTTTATTTTTGCTTTTTCTATTTTTTTTAAGATGGAAATTTACTTTATTGATTTGAGACCTTTCTTTTCTAATATAAGCATTGATCTGTAAGTCTCTACATATCACTTTAGCTGCATTTCACAAATTTGAACATATTATATTTTCATTTTCTTTCAGTTCAAATATTTTATAATTTATTTTGAGATATTATCTTTGACCCATGAATTATTTGGAAGTGTGTTGTTTAATTTTCAGGTGTTCGGAAATTTTCATGTTACCTTTCTGTTATTTTTTTCCAGTATATGGTCTTAGAACATGCTTAGTATGATTTCAGTTCTTTAAATTTGTTAAGGTTTGTTTTGTCAAAACAGGATGTGGTCTAGCTTGGTAAATGTCCATGTGTCTTTAAAAAAAAAAAAAAAAAAAACGTGTATTCTGTTGTTGGGTGGAGTTTCTATAAATATCAGATCCAGTTGACTGGTTGTATTGTTCAGTTCTTCTGCTCCTTGCTGTCTACCAATTTTGTTGATTACTGAGAAGAACAGTGAAATCTATAACTATAATCTTGGATTTTGTCTATTTCTCCTTTCATTCTATCAGTTTTTTTGTTGTGGATTTTGAAGTTCTATTGTCATGTGTTATCCATTTAGGATTCTTATGTCTTGATGACCCTTTTATCATTATGAAATGTCTTTCTTTATTCACAATTACTTTTTTTTACACTGAAGTCTACATAATCTGATATCGACATAGCCATTCCAGTTTCCGTGTGTGTGTGTGTGTGTTTGCCTGGTATATTTTTTTTCCATCCTTCTAACCTACCTGTGTCATCATATTTGAAGTAAGTTTCTTGAGACAGCATATAGTTTGATTATTTATTTATTTTATTTAATTTATTTTTTTGAGATGGAGTTTTACTCTTGTTTCCCAGGCTGGAGTGCAATGGCATGATCTCGGCTCACCACAACCTCTGCCTCTCGGGTTCAAACGATTCTCCTGCCTCAGCCTCCTGAGTAGCTGGGATTACAGGCATGCACCCCATGCCCCACTAATTTTGTATTTTTAGTAGAGATGGGATTTCTCCATGTTGGTCAGGCTGGTCTCGAACTCCCGACCTCAGATGATCTGCCCACCTTGGCCTCCGAAAGTGCTGGGATTACAGGCTTTAGCCACTGCGCTTGGCCTAGTTTGATTATTTTTTAATCCACTCTGACAATCTGAATTTTAATTAGTATGGTTTGGACCATTTATGTTTAATGTGATTATATATATGTTTTTATTTTAGAGCTGCCATTTTATTTTTCTGTTTGTTCCCCTGATTTTCATTCATCTGCCTCCTCTTTCTTGCTTTGTCTTTGGTTATTTGAACATTTTTTAGTATTCCATTTTATTTACTATGGTTATTTGTTTATTTATTTATTTATTTGAGATGGAGTCTTGCTCTGTTGCCCAGGCTGGAGTGCAGTGGCACAATCTCGGCTCACTGCCAGTTCTACCTCTCAGGTTCATACCATTCTCCTTCCTCAGCCTCCTGAGTAGCTGGGACTACAGGTGCCCACCACCACGCCCAGCTAATTTTTTTGTATTTTCAGTAGAGATAGGGTTTCACCATCTTAGCCAGGATGGTCTCAATCTCCTGACTTCATGATCTGCCCGCCTTGGCTTCCCAAAGTACTATGTTTTTATTATATTTATTTCTATAGTGTTTTTAGTGGTTGCTCTAGGAATTACAGTTGTCATTCTTGACTTCTATAGTGTACTTGGTCAGCATTTTACCACTTTGGAATGTCAGTATCTTACCCTACTATTTAGGTCTTTTTACCCCTTCCTTTTTCCTTTATGCCATCCTTGTCTTATATATTACACCTACGTACAATTTATGATGTTATAATTTTTGCTTTCCATCTTCAAGAATATTCTTCTAAGAATATTCTTTCAAAGTTCAACAGAATAGTCCATTATATATACCCAGATATTTATCATTTCTGTTGATCTCTCTTTTTCTGATATTCCAAGTTTCCTTCTGATATCTCCTTTCTGTCCAAAGAACTTCCTTTAACAATTATTTTAGAGTAGGTATGCTGACCATGAATTCTCTCTGTTTTCTTTATTGAGAATATATTTATTACTTCATTCTTGAAGGATATTTTGGCTGTATATAGGGTTCCCATTTATTCTCTTTTAGCACTTTAACAGTTTCATTCTTCTTCTTTTTGCCCTTCATGGTTTCTGATGCAAAATCCACAGTAATTGAAATTGTTCTTCCTTTATAAGTAATATGTTATTTTTCTTTGGGTACATTCAAGACAGTTCTTTGTCTTTAGTTTTCAGCAACTTGAGTAGAACTTGTCTAGGCATGGATTTCTTTAGGTTTATCCAGTTTGGGTTTTGGTGAACTTCTTGAAGCTGTAGATTTATGTCTTTCACCAAATTTTGGATGTTTTCAGCCACACTTCTTCAAATTATTTTTCTGCATTATACTCTTTCTGTTTTCCTTGTGAGACTCTGATGACACAGATGTTAAATCTTTTGGTATTGTTCCACAGTTCCTGAGGCTCTATTTTTGGTTTTTTGTTTGGTTGTTTTTTTGGTTTTTTTCCCCCAATATTTTTTTCTCTTTTGTTTAGATTTGATGATTTCTATGGATCTGTCTTCAAGTTCATGCATTCTTTCATTTCTGTTCTGCGGTTGAAAAGAGGGCCAGGGATCTCAATATTCATTACAAAAACCTTCATTTATTTCCTTAATAATTTTTTATTATGATTGCTCCATCCTCAGTTTTACCCTCCAGAATATTTCTGGTCTTCTGGCAGATAGAGGAGATGTAGTTGCCTGAGTCCTTGGAATAGGGGAGAGTATCTGGAGATCTAAGTCCTACTTACACAGACTTTCAGCCAGTGCGCTTTTTTCATTCCCATTTTACACCTTCAATTCCAAAAAACCTTTTAGTACAAATTTCTGAGTTTTTAAGGTATATATTGTATAGATTTGGGTTGCTTCTCAATTTTTTCACTACAAACTCAGGATTCCACTTTCTCAGGACTGCTTAATCAGTTGTCACTTGTCTGCTTTCCTGTACCCAGAAAGTAGATGGTGTTTTCTCCTCTTCTGTTCTCTTTGACTCTAAAAATTATATCCTAAATGTCTTTATTATTTTTGTGGCATTTCAGAAGGGAAAGTAATCAATTGTGAATTCAAACTGTCATCTTTACTTGGAGTCAGGAAAAAACTATAAAACCTAAATTTTATATGCTCATATAGGAACTATAAATGATAGTTTTTCTTTGTCTTCTGTTACATTTTAGGATGAGATCCCCACTGGAATGCCATGCCTGGAGTCAGTGACCATAGGTGATGATATTTGGGATGAGAACTGGTTACCTCTACAGGCTAAGATGGGAAAAGGAGGTGATGCTGCCTCCCATCTATTTACTGCAAGTGTTGATGGAAAGAATCAGTATTCATCATGTAAAGAAATGCCACAGAAGGTTAGATCCTAGGAAAAATAGAAAGCAAATCAGGCTGGGCAATGCAGCTCAAGCCTGTAATCCTAGCAGTTGGGGAGGCCAAGGCAGGTGGATCACTTGAGCTCAGGAGTTCATGACCAGTCTGGGCAACATGATGAGATCCTGTCTCTACTAAAAATAGCCAGGTGTGGTGGTGTGCACCTGTGCCCCCAGCTACTTGGGAGGTTGAGGTGGGAGGATCAGTGCTTGAGCCTGGGAGCTGGAGGTTGCAATGAGCCAAGATCATGTCGCTACATTCTACAAGCTTGGGTGATAGAATAAGACCCTATCTCCAAAAAAATTATAAAAAAAAAAAAAAGGAAAAGAAAGCAAATCAGTACTGAGAAAAGGAAATTTAAATTTAATTGTCTAGGTCTCAAGAAATCTATATATTCTGGAATTCAAAAGTATTTATCAGACCATAATTCAAAGAATACATGATTTTAAAAAATGGTAGTGGCATGTAGGGGGACAGAGGTTTCATCATGGGACAATAAACCATAGGCCAATTTTTGCATATCTGCCCATTTAATCATTGTGATTTTTATTTTATCATTGGCCCCTAGTCAAGGCCCTTAGGATCTATAAATAAATTAAAGAAACCATTTTCTCTAATTTTACTTTTGTTGCTTTAGCCTTGTAATATAACCTCTGGATTTCTGGAGTCAGCATATTTGCTAATATTAGGTCTAACTATATATATATAATTTATTTCCCACTGGCTATAATAGTATCTGAAATTATGTTGCTCCTTCCTGTTTGTGCTATTTAAATACTAGATGATCATGAAAAAAATCAGCTAGCCATGAAAAAGATATTAAAGAAAACACTACAAAAAGAGTTGTACTTATTTTTGAGATCCATGTGTTCAGAGTTCAAGATACTGGGTATGGACCAATAGAGCAAGGAGGAAAGTCACACTGATATAGAAAGTTGATAAATACCTTTTTGTTTAATATGTGTTGCTGTCATGCATTTATCTTGCCCAAGTTATCCTCTTTTTGGATCATGGGCACTTTATCTCAGTTTACGCTGCCATTTTTTCATTATAGGACTGGTGTTTTTCTATCCCCAAAGATACATGGGATGATTCTTGGCAGCCTTCAGGCCTTGTAAATGGAACGAAAGTAGAAGTTCATAAACCAGAAGTACTGGGTGCTCAGCAAAAAAATACTGGCACAAACAGGACTCAAAAGGTAAATATCTAATGCAGGTTATTGGGACAGGTTTGCATAAGGAAGTCCTTTCATTTTTAGAAAGCAAAATTGTCTCAATTTACATAGTTTGATATTGCCTATCTCTTAACAGGTTGCTATAGCTATTACTGTTGATAAATTTGACTTTTTGGGCTTTGTACTAGAGTTATGAGTGGATTTGCACCCCAGAAACTTGTGGTTAATGACCTCTCTCAGCAGTTGTAGAATACATATACATAAAATATAGGTTGATTTAAAAATGAAAACATAATTCCTTATTGCTTCAGAAGAGAATCCTGAGCCTAGAAATTTTAAAATGATTAAACCTCTCTTAGAGATAGAGAAAACTGGGATTTTCCTGTAACTTAGTCATAATTTTAAGCTCTGTGTCTGTTGCATCATATAGACTAGTTTCTTCTTTCACGTTGCTTTGGCAGAAAGCAGTAATCCTGGCCTAGAATATTTGTTTCAGGTTTCCTGAATATATTACGAGCATCCTGAAAACAGCAGGACAATTTGTGTGAATCATGAAATTTGGCTGCCAGACCTCTTTACTTTTTGTGTTACATTGAAAATAAAGAGCTTAAGTCTAGAAGACTTGTTGAAAAGCAAATCTAGGGAGGAAGAATCTTCTAAGTGACACATTTCCTTCAGACTATGGTTACATTGTATGACAATAATAAAGTCATTCTGTATTTCATAGAATGGTCTCTTCCAGAAATGTAGCTTACTTAATGCATGAATTTAGTTTTAGGATAAAGTAGGCTTTTATATTTTGTTTTTCAGGTTTTTTAAAAAATACAGCTTTATTGAAATATAATTGATATACCATTATAATTTGCTAAAGTGCACAATTCAATGTTTTTAGGATACACAGCTGTGCAGCTATCACTACAGTCTATTTTAGCATATTTTCATCACCCTCTCAAAAAAACCCACCCATGACCATTAGCAGTCATACTTCTTCCCCTTCCTCTCACAGCCTTAGGCAGCTACTTACTGATCTGCTTTCTGTCTCTACAGATTTGTCTGTTAAAAGGCACACAGTATGTGCTTTTCTGTGATTGTCTTTCACCTAGCATTAATAATATCTTCAAAATTCATCCTTGTTGTAGCATGAACCAGTACTTCATTATCTTCTATGGCTGAATAATATTCCCTTCTATGATATACCACATCTTGTTTATCCATTCATCAATTGGTGAAAATTTGGGCTGCTTTCACATTTTGGCTATTATGCTGCTAGGAATGTTCAAGTACAAAGTTTTGTGTGAACACGTTTTAGTTTTTCTTAGGTATATAACTAGGAGTGGAGTTTCTGCATCATACGGTATTTCTGCTTTTAACATTTTGTGGAACTGGCATACTGTTTTTCAAAGTGGCTGCAACATTTTATGTTCCCCCCAGCCGTGTATGAGGGTTCCAGTTCTCCATATCTTCACCAACACTTATTGCCTGTTCTTTTGATTATGGCCATGCTAGTGGATATGAAGGGTGTCTCATTATGGTTTTTATTTCCATATCCCTGATGGCTAATGATGTTGGGTGTCTTTTCATGTGCTTATTGGCAATTTATCTTCTCTGACAAGATATTCAGATCCTTTGCCCATTTTAAAAGTAGGTTGTCTTTTGTTATTTGGATATAAGAAAATACCATATTACAAGTCCCTTATCAGATACATTATTTTCAAATTTTCTACTCTTCTGTTTTTCTTTTTCACTTAATGGTGTCCGTTGCAGCACAAAAGGTTTTTTTGTTTGTTTGTTTTAGTTTTTTCTTTTTTAAGTAAAATCCAATAGATTTTTTTTATTTGGTTGGTTGAGCTCTTGGTATCCTCTAATAAGCCATTGTCTGACCCAAAGTTACGAAGATTTACATCTGTGTTTTCACCTAAGCATTTTATAATTTTAGCTCTTACATTTAGGTTTTGATCCATTTTGAGTTAATTTGTTATGGTGTGAGATAGGGTCCAACTTTATTCTTTTGCATGTGGACATTCAGCTGTATCAGCACCTAGTTGTTGAAAGGATGATTCTTTCCCCATGAATTGTCTTGGCATGCTTATTGAAAATCAGCTGACATAAATGATTGGGTTTATTTCTGGACTCTCAATCCTATTCTCTATGTGTCTGTTCCTATACCAGTGTCACATTGTCTTGATTACTCTAGCTGTTTAATAAGTTTTGAAATCAGGAAATCTGAGTCTTCAAACTTTTTCTGTCATGTAGTTTTATACTATTACTTTATACCCCATGAAGAGAATTTACAATGTTAAAATCTTTACTGTATCATAATGAACTTCTTAGGGTGTATTTCTTAAGAAAGTTTTCTTGGCCGGGCGCGGTGGCTCAAGCCTGTAATCCCAGCACTTTGGGAGGCCGAGACGGACGGATCACGAGGTCAAGAGATTGAGACCATCCTGGCTAACACGGTGAAACCCCGTCTCTACTAAAAAAAAATACAAAAAACTAGCCGGGGGAGGTGGCGGGCGCCTGTAGTCCCAGCTACTCAGGAGGCTGAGGCAGGAGAATGGCGTAAACCCGGGAGGCGGAGCTTGCAGTGAGCTGAGATCCGGCCACTGCACTCCAGCCTGGGCCATGACAGAGCAAGACTCCGTCTCAAAAAAAAAAAAAGAAAAGAAAAAAAGAAAGTTTTCTTTTTCTACCCCTTTTTCTATTACTATTCTAAAGCAACCTGTACTTACTATGCAGGTTGAATATGCCTTATTCAAAAGGCTTGGGACTGGAAGTATGCTTAGGATATAGTCCTCTCCTGCTGTCTGTATCTTCAACCTCTTTCTACTGGAGTGTTCTCATAAGCATTTAAACATGTTAATGTACCTTCCATCTAAACAAAATTTAAGCATTATAATTTTTTTTAAACCCACAGTCCTCCCTAGCTACCACACTTGTTTTTCATCCCCTATGTAGACAAACATGTTTTGCCTTTGAAAATTATAAAAGTACTACATATGCAGGATTTTAAAATTCAAGTAGTTCTGAAAGTTATGGAAATAAGATATCCTTGCCTCTTCTAATCCAACTCCGTCATAAGCAGTTTCTTGTGTATCCTTCCGAGAAACTAAACACATACATGAGAACATAATACACATACCATTCAGCACCTTTCCATATGAGTACTTACAAACCTACCTCATTGCTTTAAACTCCGGCAGAGTATGGATATGCCATGTTGATTTAAATAGTTCTGATGAATATCTTGTTTTTAAGATTTCGTGTGACTGTCAACAATACTACAGTGATTATCCTTCAAGTCACCATCTGTTCCCATGTTGCTAAATTAGGTGGGCATGTTTTAACCTTACAGGACCTGATTGCTCAGCACTGTTTGAAAGTAACCTTGCATTCCTTCTTGAAACATAATCTTCCTTTGGCTTTTGTGATGCCGTGATCTTTTTCCCCACCTCCCAACGTACTTTCTAGGCTTGCTCCCTGTGATGTCTCCCAGAGTTCTGCCCTATGCCATTTTCTTACTCCTTGCCATGTTATCATTTATTTTGGTATGTAACTAGATAAACATATGGTAACCCTATGTTTAACATTTTGAGGAACCACCAGGATTATTTTCCAGAGCAGCGGTGCCATTTTGCATTCATATCAGCAATTTAAGAGTACTCCAGTTTGTCCATGTCAACACTTGCTGTTCTTGCCAATGATTATAATCATCTGTCTTTTTTATTATAGCCATTCTAGTGGATGTGAAGTGATTTGGGGCATTTGTTCATGTTATGAAACATGTTTCATAAATCATGAACATGTCTGTTGAGACTAACGTGTAGTTCCATTATGGTATATTTCCAAACAGCTGTGAGGGAATCAGTCATTTATAACTACAGAAGAATAAATATGGTAGGTAGTGCTTCTCAAACTATAATGTGCATACAGGTCACCTGGGAATCTTGTTAAAATGCAGATTCTTATCCAGCATATCTGGGGTAGGGATCAAAGCTCTTCATGTCTCTCAGGCTTCCAACTAATGCTGATGTTGCTGAGTGAACACCACTTTTGAGTAGTAAGGCTCTAGATTACTCTTAGAAGGGAAAGACTTATTGTCAACTAATTGCCTAAATTTACTACACATACCTGCTTTCAAATGTCATACAAATTTAGAGTGAAATTCAAAGTGAAAGCTATCAGGATGCATTTAAATATGTGTCAACAATGCATCTTTCTTAAATCATATTTGTCAAGAAAGAAGACATAGCTCTTTAAAAATGTTTCTATATATTATCTGTTACACAGCAAAACATAGGCAGTAGGGCATAATGTAAAAAGCACTGTTCTGTGAGTGCTATAATCTAGGGCCTAGTCTTTACCCCTGACTAGTAAGTTTAAACAAGTTACCTTTTGTGCCCCGAGTTTGCCCACCTGCAAAGACTGATTTGAACTAGTAATCTCCCCAGCTTAAAAAATTTATATTAATAAATATTGATTTACTTATTATTGTAGTTTATTGAAAGAATTCACTGATTCTCAGCCTCATTTTAAATGAAGATAAAAGGTAGCTCAAGTACACATGTGAATTGCATAAACTATGCAAAAATTTGAGTCCAGATCTTTGGTTTCCTGAAATAACATACTGTATTGCCCAGTATAGCTATCTGGAGTTTTAGAATTTCTTTTTTGTAACCAAAAAAGGTTATACACACAGGCATTTGTATATTATATAATTACATAAGCCACATTCATGCCAGCCATCTTTCAAAGTGAGCTGCTATAGATTTTTGCCACAGAAGGAACATTTGCTGATATTAAATGTGTGATGCATATGAGCCAGAAAAACAAGCCTACATCTGTTTGTACATTTATTGTTTCAGTTTGCTCTAGGCAGATCCCAGATGATAAACCACTTAGTTCAGTTTGTTACAGCTTGGTCTGATGGGGTCCTTTTTACTCATGTTAATGCCAGTTGACATCACCAAGGATGAATGCTATTAAATGACCATAGAGTATACTTACTTCAGCAATGACTATATGGTAAGAAATGGGGTCTGTTTCAAAGTGGTTAAAATTTGGCAGTCCCTTCACTTAAGCTCAAGTTCAGTCTCAGTTTGGAAGTTCATCTTTTTCTCCCAAACCCTGGGCTTTTTGTCCCTTCTGAGGAGCATGCAGCTCTTGCCTCCTTTCATGGCTAGCTGCACACACACTGTTTCCCTGACTGAGGACTGAGTGCCCCCTAAGGATGGGGATCCTGTCTGACGGGGAGGTGGCATGGTAGAGCACAGAGAACATAGACTGGCCTCAGTTCACGTCTACACCCTGCCATTTACTGATGGACGTTGGATAACTTAACCACTCTGTAAAAGCATTATGGTAAGTGAAAGAAGACATAGTAGCACCTACCTAGGACACCTGTTCTGATGTTCAAATGAAGAAACACATGCAGATAAGCTAGCACTGCGCCCGACACGGGGTGCTCAGTGAACGTCACTTCTCTCGTGCCCTGCCCCCCTTTCCCAGCCTGTGTATGGTAGCACTCAGTGCCCTATTTGCTTATGGGATGTGTTCCATAAATGTTTCTTGAATTGAATTTATGTTCATTAAGATAAAGACGGACTCGCTTTTTTTAGAGAGTATCTAGGTTCTTGAAAGTGGGTAGTTTTATTTATTAATTATAATATGGAAATATTTGTATTTTGCTTATAAGTAAGGAAATAGGGCTTAATTCTTCTTATACTAACATTTTTCATGCTTTTGCCCCATTTTTCCCATTCTGCAGCAACTAGACATAAATGGTTCTTCAGATTCTTCCACACTGCCCAAATTGGAAGAATTCTATACCTCTCTCACCCAGTCAGAGGACCAGAGCCGGTCTGAACCCAACAACAGTCAGACTCAGCCAAAGCAAATTCAGCTTTCCACAGCAGTACCCCATTCAACTCCTGCAGTGGATGATTCTGCAGAAAAGCCTTCTGGTTCTGGTATGTTTGTGTGTACTTGTGCGTGCTCACAGTTGACAAACATGATGGTTTGCCATGTTGCTAAAAAAACCTTCATTTATCCCTTGCAAAATATGTCTTGAAACATTACTGACCCTAGCATTTGTGTTAAGTCCTTGTTTTATGTTTGGGCTCAATTGTTCCTTTAACTTTGCCACTCTTCTTTTTTTCTGCACTTTTTTTTGGGGGTGGGGTTCCCATTTGTATAGAGTAAAATTTTCTGGCTGTCAAGTTCTTTGAGTTTTGACAAATGGATATTCTTGTCATCATAGCCATAATCATGATAACATTTCCATCAGCCTGAAAAGTTTCCTTGTGCTCCTTTGCAGTCAGTCCCATGGCCTGCTTGCTGGCTTCTGGCATGTCACTTTCCCTTTTCTAGAATTTCATATAAATGGAATAATACATAGTTTTTATGTCTGGCTGGCTTCTTTCACTTACCATAATATTTTAGTTTCATTTATGTTGTGCCAGTATCAGAAAGTTGTTCCTATTTATTTACTGAATAGTATTCAGTTACATGGATATACCACGATTTACCTGTTTACCAGTTAATGGACACCTGTATTGTTTCCAGAATTTGACCATTATGAATAAAGCTGCCATGAACATTTGCACACAGCTCTTTGTGTAGAAGTATGTTTTTATTTCTATTAAATATATACATAAAAGGCCGGGCATGGTGGCTCATGCCTGTAATCCCAGCACTTTGGGAGGCTGAGGCAGGTGGATCACAAGGTCAGGAGTTCAAGACCAGCCTGGCCAAGATGGTGAAACCCCATCTCTACTAAAAATACAAAAATTAGCTGGACATGATGTCAGGAGCCTGTAATCCCAGCTACTTGGCAGAGGTTGAGGCAGGAGAATTGCTTGAACCTGGGTGGCAGAGGTTGCAGTGAGCCGAGATTGCATGACTACACTTCAGCCTGGGTTACAGAGTGAAACTCCGTCTCAAAAAAAAAAAAAATTATATATATATACACACACATACGAGTGGATTTGCTAGGTCATACAGTAACTGCATGTTTAACTTTTTAAGAAGCTGCCACAATGTTTTCTAAAGTGATTGCACCAATTTGCAATCCCACCAGCAAGGAATAAAAGTTTCAAGCACTCCACATCCTTGCCAACAGATGTTATTGTTGATCTTTTTTTTTTTTTAATTTTTCCCGTTTTTGGTTTTTTTTTATTATACTTTTAAGTTCTAGGGCACATGTGCACAAGGTGCAGGTTTGTTACATATGTATACATGTGCCATGTTGGTGTGCTGTACCCGTTAACTCATCATTTACATTAGGTATATCTTCTAATGCTATCCCTCCCCCCTCTCCCCACCCATGACAGGCCCCGGTGTGTGATGTTCCCTGCCCTGTGTCCAAGTGTTCTCATTGTTCAATTTGCACCTATGAGTGAGAAGATGCAGTGTTTGGTTTTCTGTCCTTGCAGTAGTTTGCTGAGAATGATGGTTTCCAGCGTCATCCATGTCCCTACAAAGGATACGAACTCATCCCTTTTTATGGCTGCATAGTATTCCATAGTGTATATGTGCCACATTTTCTTAATCCAGTCTATCATTGATGGACATTTGGGTTGGTTCCAAGTCTTTGCTATTGTGAATAGTGCCACAATAAACATACATGTGCATGTGTCTTTATAACAGCATGGTTTATAATCCTTTGGGTATATGCCCAGTAATGGGATGGCTGGGTCAAATGGTATTTCTAGTTCTAGAGCCTTGAGGAATCGCCACACTGTCTTCCACAATGGTTGAACTAGTTTACAATCCCACCAACAGTGTAAAAGTGTTCCTATTTCTCCACATCCTCTCCAGCACCTGTTGTTTCCTGACTTTTTAATGATCTCCATTCTAACTGGTATGAGATGGTATTTCATTGTGGTTTTGATTTGCATTTCTTTGATGACCATTGATGATGAGCATTTTTTCATGTGTCTGTTGGCTACATAAATGTCTTAGTCATGAAGTCCTTGCCTGTGCCAATGGCCTGAATGGTATTGCCTAGGTTTTCTTCTAGGGTTTTTATGGTTTTAGGTCTAACATTTAAGTCGTTAATCCATCTTGAATTAATTTTTGTATAAGGCGTAAGGAAGGGATCCAGTTTCAGCTTTCTACTTATGGCTAGTCAGTTTTCCCAGCACCATTTATTAATTAGGGAAACCTTTCCCCATTTCTTGTTTTTGTCAGGTTTGTCAAAGACCCGATGGTTGTGGATGTGTGGTATTATTTCTGAGGGCTCTATTCTGTTGTTCCATTGCTCTATACCTCTGTTTTGGTACCAGTACTAGGCTGTTTTGGTTACTGTAGCCTTGTAGTATAGATAGTATAGTCAGGTAGCATGATACCTCCAGCTTTGTTCTTTTTGCTTAGAATTGTCTTGGCACTGTGGGCTCTTTTTTGGTTCCATATGAACTTTAAAGTAGTTTTTTCCAATTCTGTGAAGAAAGTCATTGGCAGCTTGATGGGGATGGCATTGAATCTATAAATTACCTTGGGCAGTATGGCCATTTTCACAATATTGATTCTTCCTATCCATTAGCATGGAATGTTCTTCCATTTGTTTGTCTATTTGATTGCGTCTATTTGATTCTTCTATCTTTTCTTATTTATTAGTCTTGCTAGCGGTCTATCAATTTTGTTGATCTTTTCAAAAAATCAGCTGCTGGATTCATTGATTTTTTGAAGGGTTTTTTGTGTCTCTATCTCCTTCAGTTCTGCTCTGATCTTCGTTATTTCTTGCCTTCTGCTAACTTTTGAATGTGTTTGCTCTTGCTTCTCTAGTTCTTTTAATTGTGATGTTAGGGTGTCAATTTTAGATCTTTCCTGCTTTCTCTTGTGGGCATTTAGTGCTATAAATTTCCCTCTACACATTGCTTTAAATGTGTCCCAGAGATTCTGGTATGTTGTGTCTTTGTTCTCATTCGTTTCAAAGAACATCTTTATTTCTGCCTTCATTTCGTTATGTACCCAGTAGTCATTCAGGAGCAGGTTGTTCAGTTTCCATGTAGTTGAGTGGTTTTGAGTGAGTTTCTTAATCCTGAGTTCTAGTTTCATTGCACCGTGGTCTGAGAGACAGTTTGTTATAATTTCTGTTCTTTTACATTTGCTGAGGAGTGCTTTACTTCCAATTATGTGGTCAATTTTAGAATAAGTGTGATGTGGTGCTGAGAAGAATGTATATTTTGTTGATTTGGGATGGAGAGTTCTGTAGATGTCTATTAGGTCCACTTGGTGCAGAGCTGAGTTCAATTCCTGGATATCCTTGTTAATTTTCTGTCTCGTTGTCTGTCTAATGTTGACAGTGGGGTGTTAAAGTCTCCCATTATTATTGTGTGGGAGTCTGAGTCTCTTTGTAGATCTCTAAGGACTTACTTTTATGAACCTGGGTGCTCTGGTATTGGGGGCATATATATTTAGGATAGTTAGCTCTTCTTGCTGAATTGATCCCTTTACCATTATGTGATGGCCTTGTCTCTTTTGATCTTTGTTGGTTTAAAGTCTGTTTTATCAGAGAGTAGGATTGCAACCCCTGCTTTTTTTATATTGTCGATCTTTTTAAATTTTGCCAGTCTGTTGGGTATGTAGTGGTATAGTATTGTAATTGTAGTTTTAATTTGCATTTTCCTGTTTACCATGATGTTCACCATCTTTTTCGTGTCCTTATTTGCCATTCATGTATCTTCTTTAGCTAAGTGCCTGTTCAAGTACTTATTCATTTTTTAAATTGGGTTATCTTCTTACCTACTTGTAGAAGTTCTTTATTCTGTACACACATTCTTTGTCAGGTATAAATATTCCTCCAGTCTGTGGCTTGCCTTTTAGTGTCTTTGGAAGAGCAAAAGTTTTCAAGTCCAGTTTAGTGATTTTTTTTTTCTCTTTACAATTTGAGCTTTGTGTATCTTGTTTAGAAATCTTTAACTCAAATAACTAAGATTTTCTTCTACATTTTCTTATAAAATGTTTATAGTTTTAAGTCTAAGATCCAATTCAAGTTAATATTTGTATAGGGTATGATGTAAGGATCAATGTATGTTTGCATCTGAATGTCCAGTTGTTCCAGCACCATTTGTTGAAAAGACTGTCTCCAGTAAATCGCCTTGATACCTTTGCCAAAAGTCAATAGACTGTATTTGTGAGGATCTGTTTCTAAAATTTCCATTTTGTACTCTTGGTCTATATGTCTGTCTTTATACTGCTGTCTTAATTACCATGGCTTTATAATAAGTGTTGAAATCATATAATGTTAGTCCTCCAACTTTCTTTTTCCCAGGTTGTTGTGCTATTATAGGTCCTTTGATTTTCACATAAATTTTAGAATTAGCTTGTCAATGTCTACACAAAGCCTGCTAAGATTTTGCTCTGATTTTTTAATTTAAGTTTGTAGATCAATTTGAGGAGAATTCTCATCTTAACAATATTAAGTCTATCCACATATTACATTTTTTGTTTTGCAACAAAATTTTAATTAGAATGTAAGTTGTTCAGTTATAGTGTACTTCTTATGTATAATTTTCATAAAATATTTTGTAAAAACCTAGGATAAATTATATGATTTAAAAAAATTTTTAAATTGTTTTACTTCAGTATGTTTTTGGGGAACAGGTGGTGTTTGGTTACTTGAATAAGTTCTTTAGTGATTTCTGAGATTTTGGTGCTCTCATCACGTGAGTGCTATACACTGTACCCAATGTGTAGTTTTTTTATTCCTCGACACCTCCACCCTTTCCCTTGAGTCCCCAAAATCCAATGTATCATTTTTATGCCTTTGCATCCTCATAGCTTAGCTCCTACCTATGACTCAGAACATATGATGTTTGGTTTTCCATTCCTGAATTACTTCACTTAGAATAATAGTCTCAAATTCCATCCAGGTTGCTGTGTATGCCATTATTTCATGCCTTTTTATGGCTGAGAAGTAGTCTATGGTGTGGTGTGTGTATGTGTATAATACACACATATATATACA